GGTGCCGCGGTTTTTTTTACTTTCAACGGTCCCATCTCACTTTCGACTTGTGAGGATCGAAAAGTGCAGCCCTGGGAGCAAGGCGCTTACTGGCCTTCGAGGATTCTAACAACTCCGGTCGATTGATTTGCTCAGCTTAACGCTCCAAACGTTTTCACTAGTTGTGGATAGGCTGTTCACTGTCGTCATGACTTGTTTCACTAACACCAGGTCTCCTGCTTTATGTTTCCCGTATCAGACGGAATAACTGTCGCTGGTTACCAAGGTTAACAACCTCTTCTTTGTCGGTCTATCTTCAGGCCAACACGGAGTTTTGCCGGGAGCTTTTTGCGAGTTTCATTGTGTTCGCTTCCAGCCGGAATTTGCCGGGGAGCATAGATAAGTTCCGGAGACCGCGAGGAGATTCATCCTCCGTGTTGGCTATTAAACTTACCATTTGAGAATTTTCCTACTGCTAACAAGGTATGGTGAACTTGCGGCCGGTGTTCTTCAATTGTCTCCAATGAGCGCTTACTCAACCTGCATGTCAGCTTATTTCAGTACGCATTCGGAACAGCTAGTTTTGCCAGTTGGCTGTTGTCAATGCGCTCACAGCGTTGTCGTGGGCGTCCGCCAAAACACATCCGCAGATCAGCACATACAATTGCATGGTCGATATCTACACATGTGCTCCAAACCGAGCGACAGTTCTGGACGCAACCTCTCCAACGGGAATCGATTACCATGTGATCGATTTGCGTCCATAGCTGGTTTGAGGCTGGTGGGCGTCAAGTCACCCTCCTGCGGATGCTGTGTAGGAAGCTATTGCTCACAAGAAATAAACGGGCATCTTCACACAAATGAAGTAACCGCTCACCGTTATCATTATGCGAGCCTATACCGTGTTGGCCGCCCAGATGCAGTCCGTAAGTGGATATTTTTTCAACTTGAGCGTTCAGATCCCCTGCCAACACAACGGTGTTTGTGTTTCTTCTCTGGCGAAGGAGCTCGCTCAGTTGGCGATAGAAGTCGTCTTTCACCGCATCTTTGCTAGTTTATGGGCGCATAGGCAGCGATGACGAATAGACACCTGGTAGTCCCACGCAACTACGTAGCTTTGAACGAACCATCCAATCGGAGCGCACACCTGCTACTGATTTGGATCCAATCAACCAGAGCAGCTTCCGCCAGGAGAATCAGGGCAGTGCCAACACCAGCTTGGCCGGTGCTCGAAGCTGGATCGTCACCGGATAGGCGCAATGAGAAAACACTGCTTGCGTCACCTGAAGCGAATCGCAGAGTGAGCACAGAGCTCGAGTCTTGCAGGCGGGTCTCTGATAATCAGCAGATATCGATCGCGAGGGTCTCCAATGTTCGGGCAAGTGCTGCCTGTTGAGGCATGCCAATCTGAAGGATGATCAAGGGCCCCAAATGGATGACGATGAACTGAGGTGGAACGCTTGGTTGGACATGTGCTTGTCGATAGGATAGGGGGTGATGCTCCGCGTTTGCATGGAGTTGAAACTGGAAGACAACCGCCTAGCAAAACTTGTGGGAAGGGGGCCAGAACTCGGGGTGTTAAAAATTGTGGGGATACAGGTGAAGTTGGAACGCGTCGATAAGGGTGAAAAAGCGTAAGTGGGTGAATAAGATGACGGGAAGGTTTGAGCAGTAGCATCCAAACCCCTATCCACCTTGCTCAATGCAGCAGATAGATCGCCGTTTGTTATCCTTTGCGACGGCCAGAGCATCACGCAAGCACCTGCATTTGGATGGCGAAAAGTGTATACCATACTTTGTCGCTTCAATCGTTAAGCGATAAAGTGCAATTTGGACGGTCTGTGGATTGTCATCCGGCAAGTCAATATCATCAGCATAGTCCAAATCAACAACTTGACTACCCTGGAGGAGCTCGGCACCAGCGTTCAACGAATCTTCCGGAGCATTTCTAGGACATCCTCGGTGTCAAAATTTATGATGAATGGGGATATAGCTCTCCATTGTCGGACTCCACTGGTGACAAGAACGAAGGCGACTTCTTTCCATAAGTCCGGACTCCGCCCGTGGTCAGAATTGACATAGCACGCAGTACGGAATCTAACTTACTGTGGATGTCACTCATCAACTGACAGTACTACAATGCACTCCTGTTGGCAGAATCAAGGGCAGCACGAGTACCCAGGCGCGCAACAGTGCCTATGCTTATCATAGTGAATTTTGAGGATCTGACGGGGTTTGAAAATTTTATTGACACAACAGTGACCAGAGCGGAACCCAGCTTGTTCTTCCCGGTGTAGCCATTCGCGAGTCGGAGATAGCCTACGAGGTATGATGAACATCAGTAGCTTGCAGACGACGGGAACCAAGCTCTTACTTCATTTGGTCGCAATCATTCATGAATACTCCTCCTTAGTATTGGTGATACTTGTTACTATGGTAGTTTCTCCGGACCGCAACTCTGGGGTTCGCCAGGAATGTGCGGGTTGATGCTCCATCAGCTTTCGTGGGTGCTTCTAAGAGATTCATCACAATTGAGGTCCGTTAGGAACGCTTAACTCTGTTTTTCACTTGGTGACCTAAATGTACATGAACGATTGTCCTGCTCCATTCTTTTGGAGCAGATTTTCAGCTGAACTATTGATCGCCAGAGTTGTGCTAAGCAGTGCTGTACATTGGCAGGCATTTCTCGCTTTCAGTGCACATTTTGGCGCTTTTATGGGAGCAAGCTTCTCTCAATCCATCAAAAAAGTAAGAAGCACTGGAAGAGTTTCATTGGCTCACTTGGTAGGTGGTCGTCTCGCATTATATATATATATATATATATATATATATATATATATATATATATATATATATATATATATATATATATATATATATATATATATATATATATATATATATATATATATATATATATAGCTATCTGTAATATAAACATGTAGCCGTTAGAAATCATAGGGTGAATGCAACTAATTTTCACAAGAAGGCGCAGTGAGTAACAGGTAAGAAGTTGTCATTTGTGCTTTTTGCACCCATATTTATTATTTTTTGTCAGTTTGCTGAATGCCGTGTTTGTCACTTAATTCAGAGTGTAAACTCATGCATAGTTTTGAATTAAATCGGATTGCGCGCCTTTCCTCAGAGGTTTTCAGTCAGCAGTACCTTTTATCCGTCGCTCCGCAGGCCGGAACATGCACGCGACCGCCAGCATCTAAACTGGAGATCAGCGCTTTGGCTTCCCGCCGCTATGTGATAGGCTGGCCACTAAGCGGATTTTTCTACGGGTGTATAAAGAGCGTCGTGGTAGTCGTTCGTATGGCATGCGTAAGACGTGTTGCAGCCATCTCAATTTACGCAGTGGTACTAGTTGTCGAGAAGCAGGTCCGTCTAACATTTTCGTTGCAAGCACGGCTTTCCCACCACACATGAAATGCCCTTCACAAACACCCGTTGTCGGAGGATGCAATCCGACGTATTTATGCGCACTTCTTTGCAAATTCAGTGCGCGAACACGGGCATTGTGGATCATGTCATACATCGAGAGCAAAGCGTCCTGACCACACCACAAATCCATCAGATTGTCGAACACTGATTCGGGTTTAGGGATGCGAAGAGAAATATCCCTTCCATAGTGCCGTCTGCAGAAATGCAACTACCCAGGTAGACAGTGCATTGGAGCAGGACTTTGCATTTCGTGGGTCATGCCATAATTAGTAGCCTCAGTCGCAAGGCCTTCCGGAATGAGCGGCATATTCTGAGGGTCGTCACCGAGCAACACAATATCAGGACAAACAAAATCAACCGTTCGGTTGCTCAGAAGTAGTTCTATGGCAGAATCCCAAAGGCCTTCCTGGGTACTCAATGGGATTTCGCCGATTGCAAAATGAATCGGAAACGGTGCATCCGTGTCGTACACCGATAGTGACTGCGAAATGTTTGGATAGCCTGCCGGAGGCTCTCACTTTGTCCGAAACATTGAAGTATGGTTCTCATATGTTGACGATATACTTTTTCGTACCCCATTTTTTCTGTACATGCTACTACTCACTCGGTAAAGTCAAAGCCTTTTAAAAGCCTCGCTTATTTGTGATGATAGCGGGGCTTCGCGTTGTCGACCAAAAACGGACTATGCGTTATTACAATGAAACTATTAATTTTGTATTGATTGCCGATGTGGTTACGACTCATAATTGACCTAAAAAGCTTTCCTCTCTTTGAACACCGATGTTTACGAAGTTCCGGATCCGTCCGCGTATTGCTGATATCACCAGTTACTATCTGGCAGCCGACCCTTGGCCTTAAGGATCACAAACCTGCCTTGTAATATCGAGGTCGCGGGTTAGAGCCTGCGTAAGGTACCGGGCGATTTTCATAGCATCCTTAACCCATGCACGATTGGTGGGGGCTGCGCGGCAGCGAAACATCAGTACTGCCTACCGGCGTACTATTGATGGCGTTTTTTGGCAACAGGTAGCACAGAACTATCGCACCGCGCCGTTTGTAAAATACGGGCCGCCTACAATGTTCAACTCATGCCTGCTGATCAACTGCCTTGACCCTTATTATTTAGAAACTGCTGTTTTCAGTTGGAGAATGAAGTTGTTGCGTGCCAAGTCCATGAAGGTGCGTTGAAGAGGAGGGAACAAACTGGTCCTCTTGCTTGATGGGGCTCGGGAATGGGCCATATCTATGATTAGAAACCCCAGCGAACGTTATGCGGTTACGAAATCTCTTAGGTTTCTTACGTTCGATCATCGTGGTCTTTATTTGGCTGATTCCCACTTCATTTTTCCTCGTTATCGCCAGTCAGTATTACTGTGGTGACGCGATTCAACTTATCTGAATCCAGCACACCCTTATATCTAATTCTCTTACCGACTTGCGTGAATAATGACTCATTATTGCATCTCTCAGGCTGTATGCCTTGTTCCATCTCTACCTGAAGTCAGTAGCCCCATTACTGTTTGTGTCCGTTGTCGAACTTTCGTTTGACCACATCCCCTTTCTTCTTTGCACAGGAGCTTTCCAACCAATTTTGGCGCAGTGAGCCGCCGTCTTCAGAAAGATGCTCTCAGTTTTTCTTTTTCACTAGGATGCCTTCCATTTGGGTTCTACAAGTGAGTTCATCATTGTCTCCTTCTGTCTTTTCCACCCTTTTTTCCCACAAGCAATTGCGAAGTGCATGGGGATTGTTTCATGTTTAATCTTGTTTTTGAATCGGGACTCTAATGGAACTAGGAAACAGCGTGCATCGCACAATGCACGTTGCAAGCATTTATCCAGCACAAGCCTCTGTCTTGCCTTTTCTCTCAGCATGTTTCACCATCCAGCTAGGCGCCACTGCTGCATGGCGACTTATCAACATTATTTGTTTGCTTTTCACTGAAGTAGTTGCTTCCCATTAATCCCTTGGGTGACTAAACTTTTTGTTGCCATTTAAGCGTCCGGCTTACTAATGTCAGTGACTTAATTATGCTGCTTTTAGAGCGGTGTCGTTGTCTTTGTCTATTCCCGGTCGTGGCGTAACCATTGTCTTTGCTCGAATCAAGACTTTTGTCGTACTCTAGTTATCGAACTTTCTCAAAATTATCTAATGTGGATGGGCAATTGATCTCAGACACCCACTTGTTCAAATGCATGGCTTTCGTTAATGATCATCATTGTGTATACACGGGGATTCGTTGAAGCTGCGTCACAGTTCGCTCACTGTTATCGACGTATGGTACGCATGAACTCTGCTTCGGTTACAACTTGACTCAACTGTCAAACAGATAGTTCACTTGGCTGTACCAAATAGTGCTATCTACCGCAGGAGCGGGCCCCCACTGATACTCCATGACACACGTAATTGCTTCGTGGCGGGTACCCCTTTCCCTTTCGTTCAGGTTTTCCTCTCTCTTACCTACATGGTCGTGTGTTGTTGTCTTCTTTTTCACAGCTTGAACAAGCGCGGCTCCTCAAGAAGCTCGGTTGTTACAAAAGCGCCTTGGATGTGTTTTTGCGCTGGAATCAGTGGTTTGATATCATTGATTGCTACACACATTTGAACAAACGGGAAAAAGTGAGTTGACACCCTCTCAGCGGCTACCCATGCGTGTTTTTACTCACTGGGACAGTTCCTCAGTAGTCGCTCTCCTTATCTACCATAGGAAACAAATCCAATAAATTAGGTTATCGTTGGGCAGTTGGAATATTTTTCGAGTCAGCAGTTTGTTATCCCGATTTGACGTCAGTATTCGCACTCGTAATTACCTGCGATCTGCTTTTGTACTTTTCTCTTTTCATATGTTTTTTGGGAAAGAATGTCATCCTATATGACGAACCTTTCCCGGACACCGAATGTTTTAATCACTAGCAGTCACTTCATCACCACATCATCATCATCGCCGTTGAACATACATCCCACTTCATGACACAAACTGTTACGATAAATCACTGCGTTGCTGCTTTTCGGAACTCGTGAAATGACATCTCCCTAGCTCAATTGACATCCTCGCCTGCTTAGCTGGGGGTATTCTACATGCAAATCAAGTGACCCGGGGAAAAGCACTATTTGCTTCCAGAATCACAAGAACCTTCAACGATAATCAAACTGGGCGTCTTCAGTACTCGAACATACAACCGATCCGGAGGAAAAATGGTTACGGGTACCAGAAATATTTATAAAGGACACCCCAGTAGGCGACACCATCCGACTCTGGATTTGCTCGAAACTCATTATTTGTGATTCGCGGTGGCTTAGGGGTAGAAATTTCAGCCAACGTACTTAAAGCCCCGGATTCTGGTGCAGACCTGCAAGCTCTACCGGATTAGATGATGCATGTTCGAAGCCGGTGGTGGAATGCAGTGTTTTTGAGCTGGGTAACACCCAACATTCAGCTACAATCTCAGTGATCGAATTGACCAAAATTTACTTCGATGGGAATCACGGTTCACATTGAAATTGTGTCTCGCAATCCATCCACGCAGCATGTACTTCCAAATTGACCCTCCGATCAGCCCGTCGTGAGTCGGTGACCAAAATTGTAGGGACTTCTGCGGTTCGAGTGCCTGCTGCTCTACCTGGTGTGATTACGGAACTTCGAAATAGCTTGTGGAGTGCCGTGTTTTCGGGCAGGCGGCACCCAATATTCACAGAAAGCCAACTCCGTCGTTTTACTGCTCTGTGAAGATCAGTAACCACTCACACTGACTCGTAGTGTTACCGGTTGCTTGGCAACTCAGCGAAGTATGCTTTGTCTTTGATACCTAGCATTGTTCCCTACAGTTTGGGATTGCACACTGCATGGAAGAATTCGAAGCATTGCTTCGAAGCTAGTTACTTTCACAGCGGCTTCTATCGACTTTAGTTGGTCGGCTGTTTTAATCACTATCTTGAACGAAGTTATTCACGCGCCATCCATGAGTCACGAAGTGAAGCAACGACCGTCCTGCGTTTCTCCAGATGCGTCGGCCGGTGGCCGAGTGGTCGGCACGTTTGCTTTCCAACCATAAGGTCACCGGTTCGAATCCGCGTAGGGGTGGGCGTCCTCGCGGTATACTCAGCCCGCGTGCGACTGGTGGTGGTCGCGCGGCAGCGAAGCGCCGTTACGGCGTATAAGCTGACACATTCATTTTATTTTTCATTTTCTCCAGATGCGTAGCGAGCTGTTCTGAATCACACTTGGAGTCTTTTGGCTAGCCTTGCACATTTTCGCCCCAATAAGGCGAAACGCCTGGTACTTTTCCGTATTGTGCTTGCGCTAAGTAGATTGTGAGCTGCTGGAACGAATACATTAAGGTTCTTTCTTGGTCTAATAGAACTGTTTGCCTAACTGGTTCTTGTAATGTTGCTCGCTTAACTCCGCGTGGCTTGCGCATAGTTCGACTGAGCTCACCTTAACAATACCACCACCATGCGTCGACTCAAACTTCACTGTTACCAAATGAACTCACCGTAGCACACTGCTCTTGCTACTGTCCCGAGCTACACTAACCTCCACTAGGTTTTCCTCAAGACACTACCACTATGTGGTAGCTCTTGTGGTTTACTAACACCCTCCTTCTTGTGTAGTTTATTTACCGCTCTGATTTACTACTGAGCTATAAATGCGTAAATGTAGAGGGCATGCTTCGCCTTTGCTTTGGTCTGCAAACGAACTCTTGCCATTGGTCAGTCTTTGTTTCCTGAGTGTTGCGGTTTCCGCTGACTGTATGGATAACCTGATTCTACAGCGCAACCTGATCTGCCGGGTTTTCCAGATTGTAAGACAAATGACTCAGGCGAAAACTGTGTAGACTACGTGGCAAACAGTGTAGACAAATCAAATAATGGGGTCGAAACAATAGTTAATAAGGGAATGGCCTAGCACTTACTGGTGGGCTTCAACCTAGATCATCCTCATTTGCGGCGTTCAAGCTGAAACGTCACCATTAGCCCGTTCTCATTGGTTGGCCAATAAGCTTCAGCCTGCGTCATGATCTACTGTTCAGGGCTGCTAGCAAAGGGGTGCCTACTCCCTTACTGACTCTCAGTGCTGTTGTACGAGGTTACCCGTTTTTCGTCGCCAGAATCAGTTGTCTTGTACGACGTCTGACGGCTAAATAACTTGGGTTGTACCGATATGAATTCAACTGGCTACTCTGCAGCTAGGGCACTACTGATGAATTGCGTTTCGTCCGTTCCGACTAAATACGGAAGCAACTCGTACGTGTTATAGCACTCATCAGTTAGTTTGTTCCTCGAAATTTCGTATTTAAACGGAGGGCAGTATAGCAAATACGAGGAATATGCACGAATCCAACTGCTGCTTTCTTAAACACCTCCATGATTTGCCATCCGTGCGGACGGAATTTTCAGATGCCTGCTACCTTGACGATGCTTAATACAGTATTTTGTTAGGAGAATGACATTTATTTACCTACAACTCCATAAATATATGACCAAAAACGTTAAACAGTATGTGACCTATCAACGCTGATCATTCCTCAAGCTCCCAAGTAACATTTATCGATGTTTGACTTACGATAACAGAGGGCTCACAGCTGAACCATATCATTGTCAATAGTTACTCGTTCTCTGGATCGAATGGTATAGAAATGTCCATTCAGCATAGATTTATCCACCACTGCAGACTGTTCCAGACATTGACGCCTCTGCATTCGAGGCACAGGGGGGACCGCTCGCTTCATCTCCGGTACTACACGTTTTTACCGGTATCCGCGTGTCCCGGATGGTGCTCGTAGATGGAGCAGTGATCTCAGTGTGGAAAAATCACCTGGCTTTGAAACACGGTGGGCCGTGATAAGCGATCCGCACCCGACGTTGCGTCGGGGTGTACAGTCTTAGTGTCTTGCGCCGGTCTTCGTGCAGTAAACCCCGTACATTAGGGATAAGCCCGGTAGTAATGTGTTGAATCCGTCCGCTTTTCTGCTCTTCACCTTGAGTGGTCAACGTGCGAGCCGTTCTTTACTATTGTTTTTATGATAGAGAAGGAGAGTTGAGTGACGACCTTCCCAGACCAAGTGCAAACGCTTCTTTTAAGCGCTCAACGCATGCGCCATCCGTTGCTTTTGTATCTGTTTCATTTCAAATGCACTCAGAATGTCAACCTAGTAGCGCATTTTGCCTCGATGCCTTACGTTCCATCGGGATACCATGGTACCTAGCTTACTTCCGGCTACTCTGTTGAGTTTTTACACAGTTACTACACTGCACAGCTATTCCGCTCCTTGTTATACGTCAACTCCTGCTGCACGACAAAGGGAGAAACTCTCTATCGCTCTCACGCCTTGCTGGCAATACCATTGGGCCCACTGACCAGTTTACACTCTCGAGTGTGCACTAGCCCAGGACAAACATATCGAGGCCACATAGTGTAGACTGAGCCCACGTTGAGCACCTCTATAATAGTTGTGGCCCTCAAGATCAAGATGATAAGGACCCGATCTGGGAATACTTTATCCATCCAACCAACCGACGGATTTGAGCCATATCTTGTCACCCGGCTACGTCAAGAATAATCAGCCCCTTATATTGTTCATCAACTTGTCTCCCTATTCTTCTTTCCATAGGCCGAGGAAGTTATCCGGGCTCAGTTGGCTTCAGGTGATCAGTCTCCGGAGCTGTATTGCGCTCTAGGAGACGTGACAGGAGATCGTGTACACTACACGACGGCATGGGAGGTCTCCAAACACACCTCAGCTCGTGCGATGCGAAGCATGGCGGTTGTACACATGTATGTTGACAAAGTAAGTCATGCGCGATATTTTCCTTCATGGCGTATTGTGCGCACATGGTTGGCCCAGTCTACATTTATCTGTTCTCTTCTTGTAGGACTACGAAAAAGCCATCGAATGCTTCGAAGCATCGCTGAGTATCAATAGCCTACAAGTGAGTTTGCTGCCTATCTTTTGTCATAATTGTCTAGTGCGTAGTTCAGTATGTTCGAACTCACAGGTTCGGAAAGGCTCTTGTGCGAACGTTTTCCTCTTGACGCCAGGTGAACCGTTGCCTTATTCGCGTAACTTTATAGGTGATAATCCCGGGAGACAATGCGAGACCGTGGATAATCAGCGTTATAGTCCAAACTGTCCCAGCATCCATCGAGTGGCGAAATAGATATCACAGTTCCGTGGTCGACCGCGTCAAGGGGCATTCTCACGTAAAACGCTTTGTTCTTATTTGTGCTGATTTTGGTGTTGGTAGTTTAATGGTCGCTCACCGGTTTACGCCCATCCACCAACGGTGTTCAGACCGGCTGAGTTAAAACAGCTCGGCATAGTTATGGGAGCTCCATCCCGGCTTTGGTGATTTCCACCGCCTTAGCAGTGAACCTTGGGCTTGTTGCTCATACTCTACATTATCCAAATCGATTTCTTGCCCTGTGTCTAGTGCTCACTCAGCTGCCATCGTGTTCTGGTTCGTTTTTAGACATAATTGAAACGCGCCATTCTTGTTCTGTTACCCTCGTACGCGGCTTCCTTGCCGTTTGACCTATGTTCTTGTATGCACAATCTGCAACTAATTTTATATGTCTACTTGGTCGTGTTATCCCTCAGAAGTGTGTTCTTTAAACGCCCTGACGCCGAATTGATCGATTGACCCATTTGGATAGTCACACTTAATTTCTTCCTGTGTAGTAACCGCGTGATCGTTTCAGAAGCTCTTTATCAGGGATTTCCACCGTCCCACTCCTTTGTACGTCATGAATGTGGGTTTAGAATCCTCTGCAGCTGGCATTCCACTAACCATCTTGGAGATCCACCATCCATTAATTTGTTCATTGCCTCCTTTCGAGTGACCTTCCTCCTCTTCTTATTCTTTGGTGCTCAAAATCCGGACCCTAATACAGTGATGATGCAATCACAGGATAGGCATGCTTTGAATGAGGTAACCTGTGCTGGCGTACACCATCCATATCTGCCGCTTTTTTTCGTTTTTGGACGTGCTCTGTTCCTATGCGTTGCAGTCAAGGAATGGTAGCGTGACACTACAGTACTCCAGTTGCATAGTATTACTCGTATTCTCTCCTACTGCATCCCAGATAGTTTAGAGATTCCCTATCCCTTTTTATAAGCTCAAGTTTCATCTATTTAACGCCAACTTATTTTTGGTGAGCTACTGGTGTTTGTTAACGTCCTTATTGCAATTTGTCAAAGTGGAATGTCTCGACAACACAAACGCAAACAAAACCGATTTGTATTCAGCTGTTTACTGCGTACTCATAAGACGCAGACTTATCGTCTTCTCATCTTACTCTGGATCATCACAACTCACCCTTATACAACCTACCAAAAGCAAATGTTTGACTAGATTTTCGGATTCCTTAACACATCCTGGAGATTACTTCTTAATCAGTAGAAGTGTAGTTAGGGTGCTGAAAGCGTATGTGCAACGTTTTGGTTTAGTCGGACGTCAATTCCCACGGACGGGATTCTTCGGTAGTCACCGGTTCTCCACTGGTGTATCGTCTTCTATCTGTTACTGCTGACTTGCTGAAATATAGTGGTGACCCTTTGTTGACTGGACTTTCTACTCTATTGAACACGATTTGGAATGGTAAAGAGGTATTTTCAGACTGGCGACTGTCAATTGTCTTGCTCATCTTCAAGAACCGTCAGCGTATTTCGTGCGAAAACGAACGAGGCATCATCCTTGTTTCCATTGCATCCAAACACCTCACCTTCTCCGACGACTTACTGGTCCCCGTGAGAACCGAATCACTGAAAGCCAAACTGGCTTCCCCCTTGGTCGTTGTTGCATCGACCACTTATTTACTCTCCGCCAAGTGTTAGAGCAGAGACACACATACAGGCGACCGGCAGTGGTGGGTTTCCTTGTCTTGAAGGCTGCTTTCGATTCTGTTGACTGCACCGGTTTGTGGCACTGCCTATTCATGGAGGACGTGCCTGCTAAATCCCTTTCTATTCTGATGTCTGTCAACCGTGATTTGCGTGACCGCGTAATGTCTCCTGAGCTCCTCACGACAAGTATGATTCGCCAGCTTCGTCCTTTATCTCCTTTGCTCTTCAACTTTGTTATTGAAATGATTGAGTGACTCCATTCTTTCTGACTCTCTCGGAGTGGAAGTTCTGTCAGGTGGCCGACTGACAAACCTGGAGTGTGCGGACGACATAGCTCTTCTTGGGTCCGACGAAGTGGCTATGCAACCACTGCGCCGCACGCTTCTATGCGTGCTTTGCACATTTAACGTGCAAATTACTGTTGCGGAACTGGACCGACTCACCTCTGCTTCTAGCTATCACCGAACAGCCACTGGAAGTGGATCGGTTCACTTACCTTCGTAGCTGTGTCACCTCTGTCAGTCACACCACCAAGGAAATTACTTCACCTATCAGCAAAACTCGTGTGGCTTTCCAGTAATTCAGCCATCTATGGAGACAGCGGGATATCAGCCTATCAATGAAAGGTAGAGTGTATAGCGCTGCGCTAAGACCGGTAATACCGTATGGATCAATGACCTGGCCAGTCCTCTTTGCAATTTGGACCATTTGTGATCCGTTTGATTAGCTCATCGTTTTTTTGGGCCACTGATGAGATAAACTATTGTCTTTCAACCTTTTCCCTCCGATTTGTTATTGTGCGGTGGTCTTCGCCAGCACCTGGAACACCACTCGGCATTCTGACACACGAACACATAACGCTGGCCTCTTGTTCCACCTGTTAGCAATCATCCTCGCATCCTAAGACCATGTTCTTTTCGATTGTCTGAGGTAATCACACTCTCAGTAGATTCCTCTGATTTGAATCCAACAAATACTGTCCTTTTACCATTTGAGTATATCTTATGGTGAGTTACCCATTGTAATGAGGCTGGACCTTACCGTGGTGCGATGGTTTATGTGCCTCAGCGATCCATTGAGCTATGCTGGGTTGTGCTTTTGCACCTTCAGAGTAACTCATACCAGATTAGTCAATGGTTAGAGGCCAGACAAACTCAGCCTCCTAGTACTCCAGGTTGGGGGTTGGAATGAGGGTGGCTCCTTATTCCTTAAAACGGACTCCTTGTAGCCCAACGCCAAAGACACTGCCTTGTGGTCAGGTTTTTGAACCAAAGGCTTTGGTTGAGAACCCTAATCGTTCTCCTGTCTAGGCCTGGGCAGTCTGACAGTATCCTGCCACGTAATACAATGAGTCTCACTTTAAACAAATTTCTGATGCTCTGGCCGTCGCAGAGGATAATCAACGGTGCCCTATCTGCTGCATCGAGCAGGATGGATAGGGGTTTGGATGCTACTGCTCAAGCCTTCCCGTCTTCTTATTCCCCCTCTTTCGCTTTTTCACCCTTATCGTCCCGTTCCAGCCTCACTTTTATCCCATCTGTTTTCAACCCCCAGATTCTTGGCCCTCCCCCACCTTGTTTTGATAGGCATTTATCTTCTAATTTTAGCTCACATGCTAACGCGGTTCGTCACTCCTCTCCTGTTGACAATCCCATGTCCAACTAAGCGGTCCGTTCCAGTTCGTCGGCTTCCATTTGGAGCCCTCGATCCTCCTTCAGATTGGCATGCCTCAGTGTACGCACATTGCTACAGATCGGTCAACAGGAAGCACTTGCCCGGACATTGGAGACCCTTTCGATCGATATCTGTTGCTTATCGGAGACCCGCCAGCAAGACTCGAGCTCTGTGCTCACTCTGCGATTCGCTTCCGGTGACGCAAGCAGTATTTTCCCATTGCGCCTATCGGGTGACGATCCAGCTTCGAGCACCAGCCAAGCTGGTATTGGCATTGCCCCGATTCTCCGGGCTGAAGCTGCTCTGGTTGATTGGATTCCAATCAGTAGCCAGATGTGTGCGGTCCGATTGGCTGGCTCGTTAAAAGCTTCGAAGTCGCGCGGGACTAATAAGTGTCTATTCATCATCGCTGCCTATGCGCCCGCAAACTGTAGCGATGATTCCGTAAAGAACGACTTCTACCGCCAAATGAGCGAGCTCCTTCGCCACGGAAGAAGCACGGACACTGTTGTGCTGGCAGGGGATATGAACGCACAAGTTGGAAAATTGTTCACTGATGGACTGCATCTGGGTGGCCAACACTGTATAGGCTCGCATAATGATAACGGTGAGCGGTTACTTCATTTGTGTGAAGGTGCCCGCTTATTTCTTGTGAGCACTAGCTTCCAACACAACACCCCACCAGCCTTGGACGCAGAACGATCACATTGTTATCAGTTACCGCTGAAGAAGCTGCATCCAGAAGTGTCGCTCGATTGGGAGCACATGTGTGAACACCGACCATGCACTTGTATGTGCTGATCTGCCGATGCGTTTTGGCGGACGCCCAGGACAACGCTGTGAGCGCATTGACAACAGCCAACTGGCAAAATTAGCTGTTCTGAATGCGTACCGAAATAAGCTGGCATCCAGGTTGAGTAACCGCTCATTGGAGACAATTGAAGAACACTGATCGCATGTTCACCAGACCATACTAGCAGCCGGCAAATCCTCAAGTGGTAAGTTTAATAGCCAACATGGATATTGGGTCTCTTCGCGGTCTCTGGAACTTATCGACGCTCGCCGGCATATCCCGGCTGGAAGCGAACATAGTGAAACTCGCTAAGAGCTCCTGGCAAGACTCCGTGCTAGCCTGAAGAGAGACCGCGTATCTTAGTGATCTCATCGTGCGTCAAAGATGGAAGTGGCCGCTGCCCTTGGCAACCATCGTATGTTATTCCGTCTGATACGGGAAACGGGCAGCAGGAGACCTGGTGTTAGTGAAACTATACGTGACGAGAGTGAACAGTCAATACACAATTTGTCAAAACGTTTGGAATGTTGGGCTGAGCATTTTGTAAAGCATTTTAATCATCTAGAGTTGTTCGATTCTTCGCCGACCAGTGATCGCCCTGCTCCGTGGGCTGTCCCTTTGGATCTACCCTCTCGCTCAGAAGTCGCATGTGAGATCGGACTGTTGAAGTTGAACAAAACCGCGGGACCAGATGATCTTCCTCCAGCCCTCTTCAAATTTGGAGGCTCTACTCTTGTTGATGTTTTATATGAATTACTAGTGAAACTGGGGGAGCGGGAGACTGTCCCAACCGACTGGAGCCGCTCCGTTATTGTTCCCATCTTCAAAGGAGGCTCGCGTTCGGAATGTGGCAACCATAGAGGAATCAGTTATCCCCCATCGCCTCCAAATTGATTGCCTCGGTCATGTTTCACAGACTGACTGGCGCTCGTGAAAGCCAGATTCGTGAGGAGCAAGCCGGGTTTCGTCGGGGTCGTGGCTGCATCGACCACACCTTGCGTCATTTGTTGGATCACCGTCACACATATTGGCGGTCCACCGTATCGTGTTCCTCGACGTCAAAGGTGCCCTCGATTCGGTTGATCGATACGCCTTTGTCCACTTAGAAAATGTGTACCCGAGAAATATGTAAATATTATCCGAGCATTATATGCGAGTAGCGCAGGCACCGTGAGGGCTTATGGCAAGCTGTCGCCACCCTTCAATATCTCCAGCGGTGTAAGACAAGGATGTCCGCTGTCACCTTATCCTCTTCATCTTCGCAATTGACGAAGTCATCTAGATTGCATTTACAGGACATGACTTAGAAGGTGTAGAGCTACTCCCAGGAGAACGACTTCTTGTCTTGGAGTATGCAGATGACATTGCCCTGATTTGTGACAACTCACAAACGTGCCAAGCTGCGCTGGACAGATTAGCACTGGCTGTCAGCCACTTCGGGCTTTGCTTTGTATCATCGAAATGCAAAGCGCTCCTCCAACATTGGCATTGATCGCCTCCTGCGTTGACCCTTGGTGGGGATCATCTAGAAGATTTTCGGAAATTCAACTACCTGGGAAGTTGTATCAGCGCCCTTGGGATCGAGGACGAGATCACGAACCGTATAGCGATAGCTTGAAGTGCTCTTGCTAACATTCGCCACTTATGGCGCCGACGCGGCATCACTCTCGCCCTGAAGGGTAGAGTGTACAATGCAGCGGTATGTTCGACCTTACTGTACGGTTGCGCAACGTGGCCCCTAAGATCGGCGGACCTGAAGAGGCTAGTTACGTTCGACCACGGGTGTCTTCGCAATTTGGCTCACATCTGGTGTGAACACCACGTGAGTAACGACCGTGTTCGACGCCTTGTTTATTTCACAGCAAAAGGAACTGAACGGCTCAGCACCGTCGTTTCACGCATCATGCTTCGATGGCTCGGTCACGTGTTTCGCATGCCAGCCCACCGACTTCCCCGACCTGCGTTGTTTGCGCGCCGGGGATGTGGATGGAAAATGAGGAGGGGTGGCCAAGCGGTAATTTGGTCCAAATGAATGAAGACCCTCACTTCGAAGCTGGCCTCGGTTGGAGCGTCGCGGCTCCCTGATTGGTGTCCGAAAGACGATGAACAAGTTTGGCTGGATACACTTGCTGACTTGGCAAGGATCCGACCTCAGTGGCGTTCGTGCTGTGAGTTTCTTTTCCCTCCCCATCCCTTTTAGCTTCCCCCTCTACCTACGATCTCATTTGTAGCGTAAGACATAATAATTTTTCTTCTTGCCTAGTAGCCGGCTGGTAGCTTACCTGAACGATGCCTATCCGTTGCTGGTAGCTCAGCTGGCATGCAACTGTTGTATTTCTTTTCCTTTGCTTTATGTATTGCAACACTGTATCTGAGGTGTTTCCCACCTCTAGCTGACGTGTAGAATGATGAATGATGATATGGTGAGTTACCAAATCCAAAAGCCTGGGGTTGCAAGCTAAACGGCAGAGCACTTGTGTCATCAGAGTTTAGCGCCACAGCTTGCTGTGCTAGCGTGATGGTACCGGAGTCAGGAGTCATTGTACTGCGATACGGCCACTACCGCTGCACTGCACGCAGAGGCGTGCAACAACCGGTGTTTTTAATGTGTTGGCGCTTATACAAACACCCATTCTCGTAGTATGTTCTTTCCTAGTAACAATCCTTTAACGACTTAGATTGGATTGACTGTAATCCGTAGATTATTTTCCAAACAGTTAGAGTTATGTTTATGCTTCGGCGATTATTTTTTCTCGTCACCTAGTCCAGCACTTTCTGCTCCGACGCATTTTTCGAAACTTAGTAGCATGCGTAATACTTCGATCCTACACCCCACCAAATCAGCGTATTTCTGGGCGGTTATTATCCAACGGGAATCAAATGCCTTGTTTGTAAAGTGCACACCCCAGTTTCACAATGTTGACCAGCCCTCACCTATGTAATAATTTCCTATGTCGCATTGCATCTTCTTAGTAACTTAATCCTTTCGTATTCATTGCAGGTGAGATTGTGGTTCACCTTCGGTTGCTGTTGCCTGCAGGCTAAAATCTACTCGAAAGCGGAGAATGCATTCCGTCGTTGCGTTCAGCTGGACCCCGATGTGAGCACACTATCTTCTTATGAGCTTCCACATTGTACCTTACCTGTTCGTTGGTCATCCTTTTGCGCTGTGCTTGGATTCACACTTCATGTGTTAGCCATTCTCGTCGCCTCATCCTGTTCTCTGTTCATGCTCGCTTAAAATCCGGCGTAGGCATATCTCTGATGCTCAATTTGACACACTTGTACCCTTCTTTTTCTGTTTCTTATTTGCTAAAATTTTCCATCCGGTATTTGCTAGCAATTGAGCTACGGCATTCCACTTTCAGAATTATGAGGCTTGGAATAATTGTGCCAGTGCCGCTGTCCTCAATGGGAAAAAGTAAGCCAGTTACACCCATGAACTCATTATATGCAATTGCTGTTGTTCTACTTAAACTGGTTCCTACAGTTCAACTTATTTCTCTAGTCCATCGGATGGGTCGTATTTTTTTTCTACTGGCATTCTCATCGGCGCTTGGGCACCGACTATTCCATCTTCTCATAGCACAGACAATCATTACTTCTGGCATGAAGCAATGTTTCCATTGATCTTCTTTTTCAATTCCCGGGGCTGACTTTGTCGTTTCACACACGGGCGCTGTAGCGACTGTTTGGTGGAGTATAATCTTGTAATTATCTACCCGGCGTTTGCATACTACCCCGGTGATTGTTTGTACCAGGCGAATACAACTATGGTGATTTATGCTGTTACAAGATGACCGGTATTCTGGGAGTACCTACCTCGGCCTCCCCACCACAGCGGTGTACATAAAGGTGAATGATAAGCCGCGCTGTATTGCAACTGACATTCCATCATGACAGTTCACCTATGTCATCCATAATTCAGCAATTGTCTTTCAACTAAGATGGCTGTGAGTCCGAGCCCCGTGGTCTTCTAGTCAAATCAGCCCCGATTGTACAAACCGGCCACCTATTTTTCGTATGTGTGATGACTGTACGACTGCATCTAACGGTGCTGCATCTGCTTGAACCTGATCAAATCCATTTGACCACATACAAACTGGTTCAGTTTACGTTCTAGCTGCAATTAAATAGCGTCTTACGTTTAGCGCGCATCGGTTTACGAGCGTATATATAGAAATCTAGTTGGGTGCCGACAGTTGTATCCATGTTCTGTTTGTGCGGACTCAGTCTGATTGCTTAATTTACCTCGACCGAACGACGCAGCAAGCGTGATATTTTAGTGAGGTTTCCACTTCATTTAGGAGTGCCCATCTATCCTGTTAGTCCGCTATCGTCCCCCATAGCTCAGTGACATAAACTGCTGGCTAGTGGTGCAAGCAACTAGCAGTCATAGGTCCGGTTCGGTGAAGGGAACAGAGGGAACGCGCACCCCAGACGATTCCCAAGAGGACGAGACGGCTGTCTAGTGCTTTTTCCGCATTGCGGTTAGGCTATCTGGCTTGTAAACTAGTTCGGACGAACTCAGTTACCCATTAAAATCCTTCAACTCATTGGCAATACAAGTCATCTTAATAAACTTCAAATCTCTAAGTTGCTTCCTAACTGCTGTTAGGGAAGCTTATGATGGCTGACTGTCTTCCCCATGGCTCAGTGGCATAAGCTGCTGGCTAATGCTGCAATATAATTGTGGTCATGTGTTCGATTCCCTGAAGGGCGGTTTGGTAGTTCCATCTGCGATGAACCACATAAACATTCTATTAGTGCTTGCTTAGACATTAGGTTCATTTGAATGTTCACCGCGCTTCATATCCTTCCATTGTCTGAGCAGTTCGCTAGCTACATTTCGCTCCTGAGTTTGGCTGGTGTTTACATGGCAGCAGCGACTACTTGCGATACGCGAATTTCCGTTGATCTTTCCATCCGTATTGTCCGGGTCATCATCAACAGCAGTACATCAGCCATTTAAACTGATGCTTCGCTGCCATACAACCATGAGGAACTATGAAATAAAGAATAAGAAGAGGGAGAGAAGGGGGACTTACCTGAAAACTTTAATGTCCTAAGCAAACATTCAGGGTCAGGGCGCCTACACCTTGTGTAGACAACATTCCGTCACAAACAGCTGGCTATCGTGCAAAGATAAGGCGGCATCGGCGAGACAGCTTCCTTACGGCTTTCACTGCCCCGCGTCATAATCAGCCATTACCCCGCAGATAACTCAGCACCAAACACACTTTAAACAGACAATCCGATTAGGAGACGGCAGCAGACGCGCTACTGGTGTCTACTGCGAGCCATGTCCTGTAAAGTCTCAAGCCAAGCACAAGGTGAGTCACGTGGACTCCAGCGTGGAAGGCGAGACGGACCAACGGCACCCAGTTTAGTTGTCAGTGCCTTCATTTCCCGTTGCCAAGTCAACTTCTGTCCACCTCGAGCCTTGCGCCATCCTACACCTGGTAGACTGAACAAGGCCCTCCCAGGTAAGCGGTGACCAGGCATGCGTAGCACGTGCCCGAGCCAACGCAACTTATTCAGTGCTATCTGTTGTTCTAGGGAGCTAGCATGATTATCACCACCTAGTACTCGCCTACGCACATCATCGTTGCGGACACGCTGGTGCCATCCGACAATAGCAATGCTGCGCAGACAACAATGATCAAAGACTTGAAGGCGCCTCAGATCTTCAGACCGAAGGGGCCAAGTTTCATTACCATAGAGCAGAACGGCCCTCACTGTGGCCTTGTATACCCGGCCTTTCAGACGGAGGGAAACTCCCTTCTGTCGCCAAAGATGACGCAGGTTCAAGAAGGTAGCTCTGGCTTTTGCAATGCGTGAGCTCACGTCAGTTTCTATGCGCCCATCGTTGCTGATGCAGCTGCCAAGATAAGTGAATTGATCAACCACCTCAAGTTCTTCGTTAGCAAGGGTCAAGGGGTCATCAAGTGGCTGGTGGTCCTGCAGCAACACTTTGCACTTTGAAGGTGCGAAGTGCGTAGCAAATAATGGGACCACTCTGGACGGGCTATTCAGGGTTGACTTTGCCGCCCCAACATTGTCGAAAAGCAAGACGATGTCATCCGCATAATCTAGATCAACTAACCTTTCACCAGGCATCACTTCAACGCCTATATCGTGAGATTCCGTAAGGGAACACTCCATGATAGAATCCACGACGAAATTGGGCGAAAACGGGGAACTCAGCAACCCTGACGAACGCCACTTGTAGTCGGGAAGCTATCCGATAGGGCACCATAGACCCTGACGCGGCCTGTAGTGTTCGAGTATAGAGCACGAAGGATGTTCGCATATTTCGTGGGAACACCTTTTCGCGCAAGTAATTCGAACAGAATCGGTCGCTCGATTGAATCGAACGCACTCTTGAAATCGAGGAACACAACTAATGTCGATTTGCGGTATGCGTGGCGCTGCTCTAGCACCTGCCGCAAAGTAAATATATGGTCTATACAGCCACGTCCTGGGTGGAAACCAGCCTGCTCTTCCCTAATCCGAGATTCCCGTTCTGCAGTGAGGAGACGAACGATAATCGGGGCCAATAATTTTGTCACAACTGGCGTTAGGCTAATACCCCTGTGGTTCGCACAGTCTGTGCGATTCGCTCCAATTAGCTGGCACACTCTCTTCGTTCCAGATACGTTCGAATAGTGAGGTCAATGCCCTGCCCTGTCCGGGTTGACTTATGTGTGGCGTACCCACGGATAAGCGGTAGTTTATCTGGTCCGGTAACTGCATTGTCGATTCCTTATCATTATTCTTAGAGATTACGATCCGAGTCGCCGTCTATGCAATCAGAAATCCCCCTCATTCATCTCTTTTTGAAGCAAGGCACACTGATGTATGAGCTCATTGGGTATACGCACACCTGTGCCATTGCTTGGATCCATTACACCTGACGGTCGATTGCACGGTCCTATAAGCCGAAGAACATCTATAGCACTTTTTAAAATATGGATTGAAACTTTTGACGACGTACTATTTTGCGTACTTACTTGATGATTGAATATTTTGTGTGTGAACGCTGGAAGTCGGTATTATCCACACAGCTATTTCGAATTCTGGATCCTACATCTCCTAACTCAGAAAACTAGATCAAAACGATACAGCGTTATTCACGACCAAACTGACTCTCATTACGTAGTCAGTCAGTCAGCCAGTTAATTTGCGCAACTGTGCTCTGGGCACCGAACTACCGTGGATCCAGTTGTAACAACTCACGTTGCCAAAATGACAGTAACTAACGTGGGCAAGAGGATGAGGTTGCATACTAATAGAATGTAACCTTTTGCATCGGAATCAAGAAGAAAGCTCATCAAACGAGACAAGAATGAGAGAAAATTGTGTGGGGGACGCAAGAAACAGAATGCGGGAACGCCATTGACTGCGGGATGGCCCCATATCTGATGCGGTCTCTAACCATTGGCTTCCATTCATGAAGACGACACGAGACAGCCTAGCCAAGTTTCATTCAGTTTCTTCATGCCACGTCATCAACTGGCCACCTCGCGGTTTCGCCCAACTTGATGCAACAACGGTGTATAATGCACGCCGTGGAAGCCGGTCTAAGGCATACGGAGGACATGGCTAGCGAACGTAAGCGGTTGAGCTTAAGGAAACACTTGAGTGAGGCACCAGAAGGCTTCCTGCTAAAAAGCCAACAGCACTGCTCACCCGGCGTTCACAAAAGAACCACTGATCAAACACAGTCAAACGTTTAATGTAATCAACGCGAACTGGCCAGCTCTTTGGTCCATACAGTAACCCTCGCCATGTTGCAGCGTTATACGCTCTACCTTCCACTGACAGGTGGATATCCCACCGTCTTCATAGATCGTCGAGTCTCTGGAAAGCCACGCGGGCCTTCCTGATACACGAAGTACTTCCTCTGACTGTATAGTTCAATAGGAAAGACTTACAGGAAAGGTCCTTGCTACCTGGAACTACCAGAGGCCGGTAAAGTACTCTCGTTGACTCACTCTGAGGCCAGAGTTCTGTCGTCGGCTGGCTCTAACACAATTGCTCTGTCATTTGTTGGCTGTTGTCCAGTGGATTGGTCTGAATTTCAAAGGTGGACTTGGAGAATCCGCTGGTGCTTGGGTTGCTACAAGCAACCTCTATTGAGGCTTCGGTTCACTTGAAGTGGACCTCGGCCATTCCGATTTTAAAGACCGTAAGTAAAAAGAAACCTTTTATAGTGTTGCTCATCCAAACACGGTCTGAATTTCTTCTGAATATAAGGGCATCTAAACGGGCTTAATAGATCTCTATGAACGGTCTACCTTAACTAGAGAATATTCTACATTTTTCACTTGTTTATTGAATTCAGCCGCTAAATTACGTATCACATATGTGTATTCGATTTAATTCCGTCTCCGAACCTAAGTACAAACCGCGCTTCGCTTTCTTGTCTGCATTTTAATCGACGCACTTTTCACTCGTGTTTCTGCAAAGTATGACCGTCAAGCAACGCCATTACCCTGTTTGGTATGTGTTGTAATCGCATGAATGGATTACCATACTGGACCATAAAAGTCTGTTTCCTACTTACCACCGTTTTCGTACACCTCCCAGCCGGTCGCAATCGCACACGTTACAGTCATCTTGCTTTTGCTTGTTTGCCTAATGATTTTAAGCCCAACTTTAGACATAACAGAAGCAATGTTTTCCATTACCGTTGTGGTTAACCCATGTATCGTCGCTATCTACAATCCTCAAGCAGATTTGTAAACCATCATTCATCCGCAGATGTCCCACTTAGTTCACAATCGAATGGTACAGTGGTGCAATTTTCCTGTTGTTTTATATGTAGTTCGTCGCAGTTCTTTCTCATTCACGCAAGTTCACACGCCAACTGTTTCGACCTTCCGAGTCTCGACAATGTTACGCAAGTCTACTGCCGTTACCAATGTCTTAGTGGCACAAGCTGGGGACATCCGGAAGTCATGGGATCGGAAGCCGGCAGAAGCCCGAGGAACACGCACCACTGACGAGATCCATAAGGTAGAAACATCTGTCTTGTGCTTTTTCAAACGTGTGGGATCCTGTGTGATTTACAGCGGATCGCGATGAACCACCTATAAAATGTCGCCAAAAATCCCCACTGCTCATCACTAATCCAAAACCCGTCCGTATAGCTTCAAATTGCTGTGTCGTACACAGCCGCTATACGGAAAGTCGTAGATCCTGGGGCTAACCACTGTTCACTGCGCAGTTCGTAACCGGCATGACGGCGGAGGATGAGCCTTACTATATAGTAGTCAACTGTCAGTCCTGCAGGTCCGCTGGCGGCACTCATGGCCTAGTGGCACAAGCCGCCGGCATTCGGAAGTCATAGAGTCGGAACCCGGCAGGGGACGGAGGAACGCACACCACTGACGAGACCCAAGTCGAAACCCCTGTCTGGTGCTTTTCCAGACGTTTGGGAGTCTGCGTGGCTGGGACAGGACTGCGACGAAGTACATCTAAACTAATGCCAAAAATCCTCACTACTCCTCAGTAGTTTTCCTATTTACCACGTCATTAAACCGTTGCAGTATCCTCGGTTCTCATATATGACCTCGGATTCCAGTCGCTTAATCCGAATTGCCGTTTACTGCTTTTGACTTCGGCGGATCGCAACCTTTCCACTTAAGCGGTTCGTAATTTTCTCTTCCATCTTTTGTAAGATGTGAGAAACATAGATAGCGAACAAACGACTGGCTTATGCAGATCTGCGCTTCAAACATCTCTACTTTTACCCATCATCTTTTAATTCACCTCAGTGGATGAAGCTGTGTATGTCTCTTGGTAATCGTCAATTGGTTTCCACCGTTTTTCGGCAGTAAGCCAAACTTCTTACTGATGCCCCGCTGGGCTGCAACCATGAGAGCTGCTGGGGATATGTTTAACCTTGGCATGTTTAACCTTGAACCCTGGGGCACAGGTTGCAAGTCACGTTTCTGAACTATGCACCTCTTTTATCGGTTTGCTTGCGCATGATTTTATTCAGAAGATTGTACACATTGGACTTCTCTACTTTCCCAACTTCAGATCTGTCGCTCTAAAGTTACTAAAAGAGGCCTGCAAGTACAATTATGAAAACTGGAGGATATGGGAAAACATTTCAATTGTACGTATTTGATTTTGCCATCTCTCCCTCATTTCCTTTTGTCCGAATTTGTTTCCAGCTGATGCTACTACTTGTCGTTTATCCGACTTGCTGTTTTTTGGGCATGATTGCTGGTGGATTTGAATTCCTTATAGATTGGCGGCATCTATTTCCTAGTTAACCCTAGCAGTATGTTCGGTTGCTTGTGTACTGTAGATGAGCTTTTTTTGATCGATTGCAACAGCAGTGCATCACATGTCCGAGGGATTTGATGATTCGCAGATTTGAGTATGATGTATTTACAGATAACTCGTATTCTCCCAACCGTCAAACAGTCCAACTGGATCAGTGCATAAATTTAATTGGTGTTAAAAACCATCTAGGCACATTACCGGCACTAATTGCAAGTCATGTGTTGCTGTTCCCCAGGGGGTTATATTGCAGGGCATCACGGCAAACCTTACATATAGTGGGGCTTTTCATTCTACATCTAGTCACACTCATGAGCACGGCATCATTGTCATTCACTACTTTAGGGATATATCACCCGAGGTTGTATTTTATTTATTATTGTTGAGAAATCGGGATTTCAGAATTTCTCATACTTGCCATCTTTCACTTACCGAATTGATATTACTTATCCGAGCTATATGCATGTTAATAGTGGAATGTATACTCAGTGTATTGTCGCACCTTCTCCTGGATCCTGCACCGCGTTGTCGAAGACGCTGCCAAAGGCCATTAAGTGTGTCGTCTCTTCATGACAGAGTTTCTCCAGCTTCTTCGTTTCTGAAATGTAGAGCAATGTGGATGACGTCTCTTTTACTCCCGTACGTAAAGTGATTCGTTTTTCACGCCTTGTGCCCTGCCTACCCCTGATCGATGGTACACTCGTAACCCACTCCCATCAAATAGACTACGCACCATTCCACGGTGCCATCCACAAGCAATACTTGTCATCTTGTTACTCGATGCTTTCAGTATTCCATCTGATCCGATTATTTACTTGAGTTGAGCTACGTGGTGACGATGCTTTCGTTTACAAGTTTGCCTTATCAAACTGTGACGCTTATCCCTACTTCGTCTTTTTGTTTTCCATCAGATTTCAACCGATGTCGGTTGCTTTGAAGACACCATACAAGCATGTCATCGGTTGTTGGATCTGCGCAACAAATTCACCGATGCAGATATCTTGGGAGTCCTGTCGAAAGCAGTCTCCGAGGGTGTGGTGGATCATCGTGGCCATTCCGCATCCGAACTTCGCTCCACAGTGCTTACCTTATTTGGAAGAGTTACAGCAACGGTGCGTCTGTTTTGATGTCACCCTTGTCGATTTTGATTTGAACGACTTGATAGTTTTTCGTTTTACAAGCCTCATGTTACGGATTTGACTCAGGCAAGTATAGTACAACAGCACGCCAGTACATCGTGCCGAAGCTTCGCTACCACGAGATTAACACCGGTCGCGCACGGGCTAGGATACTGCGCGGTCGCCTGCACATACACACATTCACGCCGGTGATTTTCGAACGTCCTATATCAGTCGGTCACTGGCCAACACTGAATGTGGGCGAAATCGCAATTTTCCGCCTGGCTGACAAACAGGCGATTTGGTTCCTGCGAGCGGCGCCTCCACCCTTAATGATGAAATCGCCTTCGCGACTCGGTGTACATTCGTTGGCATTTTACTGTTCTTTACCCGTTAGCAGCACTCCGAATTCTTCATTCACATCTGGTTTACAGGGACGCTCTGAGTTGACCATTTGTATTTCTATTGCTCAGTCACGTCTCGGCGTTTGAAAATAGTGAAAACTGAGACACTGTGGGTAAGATTTTTGACCAGTACACATGGAAAATTGCTAACGCCACATCTACGCTGCTCACTTGGATTCTGAGTGGCTGTCACCCTCCATACACTACTACCATACTTGCTGCACAACGAAAATTCGTCATTTGGAGCCAACCGGACAGGGCCTCTTTTCTGAACCGTCCTATTAACCTAGCGGTATTTGTCCTCGTACACACACACACACCCCGAATCCCGCCGAATTAAAATTCATGACTTGACTCTTACGAACCGGAGCTGCTTGACAGCGGCTGATTTGCATGACTCAATGGTATTTAGGAGGCGTATGTCCCGCTATAATACTACTTTCTACCGTGCAGTGGACAAGGTTAATCTTCATAATTAAGGCATTTTCACCAGATTGCCAATACCATTATGACCTAATAAACGAGCACGGTTGCTTGTTGCCAGGTGCTCATTATACTCACTTTTTACTGCTCATTGTTGCCACGGTTTGATGGCGATCCTTATTAGCTACTCACCATTCTGGCGCGCGCCACTTCCTCCATTCGTTGTTGTCTTTTTCGCTCTGGCTTAGTGAAAGCCTAATTTGCCTGCGATGAGGACCCCCTGGCCTTGTCTGTTGCGGCGTATGATCACACATCGTAGAATCGCACCTATTTTTTCGATGGATCAATTGATCATCCACCATGCATTCGTATCTCTCCTCTGTATAGACACCTGGTGTCGCTGAGATTTGGGAACACTACGCCGCCCTGCTGTTATCCGAGAAACCCGGAGTAGAACCAACTACATTCCAGCGGGTAAGCCAATTTTGCTCTGCCGTTTTTCCCCCGCCGCTCGCGAATTCCCTTTTCGGACATCACATCTATTTCTAGCATGTGGTTGTTGGGTGTGCTCCAACATTAAGCTTTGCGTTGTTTTGCATGATGAGTGAGTTCGTTTTACAACATTGGTTTGTTTTAACCTACACCTATGGGCTGGTTGCTAAGGAAGTTCATGTTCCCTAAAGTTGCAACTCTCAAACGCTCATACTACTCCTGATGAAATTTCACTAAGGCGGCTCTTTAACGCAGTCGTTGCCATTTTCTCCGAACATCATTTTTTACATTATCTACTGTAGATGTGTCATTTCTGCAAGAGTAAGCTGCTTTCTATCTTCTGAAATCATCTTTCAAGGTCACTGAGACCAATCTACTTGATCCACCTTTTGAATATTAACGTTGAAATATCGCGCGCTATCGTCCATCTTTGGACTCAAAAGTTTACTTCAACTGTAACGATTTATGAAAGAAACTTTTTATCGGAAATTTAGCCTTTTGAATGGACGCAAATCCCTAAGATATATTGAAGCGTTATGCGATCGTTGTCTGATAGAGTTATGACCACCCTTCTCACTCTTCTACCCACTTGTAAACTTTATCATTTTTGATGGTGCCTTAGTGGATTCACAGTTGATAGTGTACATTGCTAAAAATTCAACCATTTGGGTACATACAGCTTACGCTGACTTGACTCCCATGCGTCTGTGCCGGCAGAACAAAATCGACCCTGTTGACTTGCGTACTGGTCGGATCGTTTACGGAAGCGTGAAAGTTAACTGCTATCGTACCCTTGGTCATACCTAGCCATTACTGTGCGTAGGCCCAGGTCAGATTCTTCTTATATTTTTAGCGAATTTCGGTGATTTACTGCTAGAGCTTAATATAGGCGGCGGAGATAGAGAGGCACGCAAGATCTCCGTGCACTATTAGCACTGCCGAAGATTTTCTCTGAACTGCGATTGATATCGAAACTGTTCTACACCTTTCCTCGGTCAGTTACATCCATAGCGCTTTCATGATTTCTTTAAAGGAATTATGCTCCTCCATAGATCTCCAGATGTCCCCTACCGCTGCCAAACTGCATCCAACGGGCGCGAACACATACTGTTCCTTGCGTGACCAATCCCTAATCCTCCAGCAACATCCCATTTGGTGCATGCATCTGCGTCTGTCATGTTAGTCCCTCTGTCACCATGTCGTGACAGCCCTCCAAGACCCAAAAACCAAGCCTGGGCCTCAATCAAAATCTGTTATTCCGAGAAAAACAAGATCATCTTATATCTCACATGAATTAGAATCACTCACAAATATGTCGCATTCCTTCTTGCTATTGCTTCTTTGCCGGCGCTCGAGCTTTGTTTCTATCATAGCAAACCAATCGCGTACTAAGCTTCAGCTTACATCGGCAGCTATTCTTTCAGTCAGTTGCTCCAAATTCGTTGAGTCCTCACCATTATGCTCAGTGTGATATCTTCCCACTATCATAAGTCATAGCGCAGTTCATCTTCGGACCGGGACGAGTCGACGTATTTCGGGATTGTCGTTGTTTGAGCAACTCTTTTAGCAGACACAAGCGGTCTGTCTCTTCCCTTGTAGGGTGGCTTACGCGCACAGATTGTCGCTAAGTCTCTGCACTGCTTGCAACGGATCCTTCAACGAGCGCACAGTGTTACTTGATTCCTCCGTTAATTGTACCAGTAGATGATCCTTCTCCACCCACAGGAACACCTTGCTGGCCACTTCTTTGAGGGCACGACAGTCCGACGCATAAATATACCGATAGTGTCAGCATCCCTGTGGATGCGAGGAGGCGTTCACATTCTTCACAAGTTGTTAGAAATGTGCCTTTCCTATGGACGTCCGGAAATTACGTGAACATCAATTGACATGGCCTGTGTGACTGGTTGGGCTATCATGCCCTACACGGCTAATGGGACCAATCATCGATGGTGTTGCTAATGGTAAGTAATCAGTCATACACGAAAAATGGAGTCCACAGTGAACCGAAATATGGGAAATTACACGAGTGAAACTACTGCATTGTAAATAAGGCATGTCAACGAATCAAACGCCTGTGGAAGATTCTGTGCAAATCAGGTACTCCTACGGGTAGTCATGGATACCATGCCTCTACACGGCAGTAATGAGCAGTATTCTAGGTTAGGTGCCTTGTGGACCGAAACTCGCCCAGTGAAGTACTCTTATCATTGATAGACAGTTCCAACACGCACCTACTACTCCTAACTATATATAGCAACAGCAAGTTGGGGGGGGGGAATCGAAGAGGCGAAAGCTGATACGGAATGTATTGGGTCCATGAGAAATGCTCGTTGACCATTACGCTTGCGTGCCATTATTGCGGTGGCCAATGGTCGAAAGGAACAGGAACCACGCTAGAGAAGGCAGACTTCAAGGTCACCTAGCTTGGGTCGGTAAAGCATCTTGTACTTGTGAAAACGATGTTACATGAAACTGATGAAGGACCAATAAATACACGATTCAGGGAAAATCGTAGAAAAAAATGTAAACGAGTTGATTAGAAAGATTGATCCCATTTGTCGTGTGGATTTCAGAAGAAACGGGCACAAAGCACGGGTATGTGTACCTTAATGGAACCATCCTGAATCATTTATCAGACAACCTAGACATTGGAAATAATCCACCGAGATGACAATTCTAAACAGTCAGCTCGCTGATGACCAGATAGAAACTCATTGCGAGTGAGTATACCTTCATATTTTAAAGAAAGGGTGTACAATACATGGAGCGAATATTTACCCAGCGCAAGTCAGCGTTGCGCGGAATTAATCCCAAACGTTTTCTTCCAGAAAACGTTCAGGGATTCATTATGATACAGAAATGTGTTTACTAATGTAGGATCCAAACCACACCAGAGGCGAACGCGTGGATCGAAAGGGGATAATACCTGTCTTATTCCTCGACGTAGCGAGTGATTTTTCCCGCATGGTTCCCGGAATATGATGTACGCAGCGATCATGCTGGCGGCAATGTGTCGTAAACATTCGAAGCGTGCGGGTATTTATGAAAAGACATAAAAATAAAAGCGTAACCCCGTTGCGCTTTGCGGTCTCCTGTCATTCCTGTGAAGTAAATGGGAAGTAAGAAGACTGTGCACTGTGCAAATTACCTAGGACGTGAAAACCTGACATTTCACTAATATTTGGTCTTGAACATAGAGAATGGGCAGTGTAGGGAGCACCGCTTAGCATGGCTTTGGGCTTCTTGATGAAGAATGTGGGCGAAGGTGCCAGGGAGAAACCAGTGCACATAGAATCGAACGTTTTCTGTCCTATGACTTCAGAGCGTCGATCACGATCCAGAAACGTTTTAGACATCTTAGATGCGAATAAAGTTGGCGCTCCTTGGTCCAACAAACTCCACGAGCAAGAAAGTTAGCCTCCTAATCACCGAGTATTTGCCTGTCATTAATCATAAAAGCGAGAACTAATGAGCAGTAGTGTCATGTGTCCGTTATGACCGATCCATACAAACCCAATATTTGCCAACGACCACTCGAAATGAGCTGTGAATATTGCTGGGGCGCCCGCGATTTCTCCCAATGACGAAAACCGCATGACAACAAATGTGCAATCAAAGTGCTCAAAAAATGTCCAACTGGCATTTGATACCTCTGTTGACACAGATTCAGAGAAATTCCCTAACTTCTTGACATTCCTCAGGTCGGCACCCGATTTACCATCAGCAGCTCTTGTCGAACAGCATCGAGTGGCTATTCATTGCTGTGTGATTTTTCCGATTTGGAGATATTGTGACAGCAAGCAGTGTATACTACCTATGCTGGTGGTACTAACCTATATCTCACTAGTGAGAAACAGTGTTCTTGATTTTCAGCTGCTAACAGCACAGAAAGATAGCTACTTTCCATCGCTTCATTACTGAGTAAATCCATGTGACACATTCAATTTACTCTAACCACATGACTGCGATGCCTTTCACCTCTCAATTTTTGTACTTTTCATAGGCAGTACAGCATTTGCAAACTGCACATCGTTGTCGTGTGTCGTCCTCAGAGGGGAAATGGGAGCAATCGGACACGAAACGAACTGCCGTTGTGAAGGGGCTATGCCATTGGGCTGACGTGGTCCTCAAAGCATCTCATTTGGTCTCGCCCTATCCAGACACACTGCAGTCACCCGATCCGTCCGATACCCAACCAAAACCGATGAGTAGTTTCGTCAAGTCAAGCCTCGCATCCCTTCGGCTGAGCATAATGTCCGTTCTTGGACGATTGCAGGTAGGTTTTTCTTGCAATAACCATTACACTGCTTTCTATTCATGGATTTCAAGGAGCTCCTTCTTATCATGCAAGTGACTCGGCGCGGCGTTTTTGGTATCGCTCTCTATCTTCCAACACTACGCTTCGTGACTCCTTTGGTCCTTATTTGGGCTCATTTGGACATCAACAATATGTCGACACACCGTACCGATACTTCGCTGTCACGCGACCACCAATAATCACGCGAGGGCTGGGTATCTCGCAAGGTCGTCCGCATCTATGCGGATTCGAACCGGCGACCTCTGGATTACAAGCCAAGCGGGTCATCCTTTCGGCCACTATCCAACCACTTGGAAATAATTGGAACTGAGAGTGGAATACGGCGTATAAGATTTGAAAGATGACGTATTGATCTCTAGGCTATTGAGCACAGCGAGCAGTGATGGGAAAGAGCGACCCCGGAGACTTTGCACTTTGGATTTATGCCTAGTGGTCGGAATGACCGAATTTCACTTCAAAGTCAACAGTCGGCCGAATTGTGATTACGTGTCTCAGCTTAGACACATTCATTGAGTGCTCCAGAACCTTAAAAAAGCTTGTAACCGCTGAGTTAAGCGCTGCTCATGAGGCCTGATGGCTTGCTGATCATGACAAAAGTCGTCAACCACTGTATGGCGGGTTCCACTCTCAGGTCAGACTATCTCTATCTGACGAATCAAACTTAGGACGAATGCGTCCGGTCTTAGAGTGCACTATTGGGAAAGAGTAAGTCCGAAACTCTCCACTTCGAAATGTGGCCCCAGTGACCGAACTTGCATAGGTTTGCTCCGAAGCAAACCGTGGCCCCAGTCGAGATTGCATGTCGCATTCCAGACATACAGCAAATATTCCAAAACGGAACAACAATTGCCACAGCTTTTTCGAAACCAAATATTGTGTCATTTATCCGGCAGCGTCTTTAAACCAAACCATTCATCCCACCTAGTGGAAAAAATAGAGTTAGCTCTCCGTTGACTGCTTCTACCTACGCCACTTTTCACCTGATGTTCCCGGGATGACCCATTTGCGCTCCTTAGCTTCTGTTACTGCGCATCGGATATCCTTGCGCTATTTAAAGATGGTGGCACTTCGCTGGTTCGAGAACTCACCGCTTTGTTCTTGAAAGTTCTGTCGAAAGAGGAGATTCCATCATCTTTGGTTGAATCGATATTCGTCCCATCTTTTAAAATGGGCTGCGCACAATCTGCTCCAACTACAGAGGCATAAGCTTAGTCCCTGTCGTTTGCAAGCTGCTGGTGTCTACCGTACTTCGCAGGCGCGAATCGTTGCAGCGAGAAGAACAAGCTGGGTTTCGCCCTGGTCGCGGCTGCATCGATCAAGTCTTCACACTCTGCCAGATCCTCAAACACCTCCATGTGTATCAGGAGCCAATGATAGCTGTGTTCTTGGATATTCGTGCAGCCTTCGGTTCTGTATATCGGACGGTACTGTGGCACTGCCTACTGAGGAATGGTGTCCCCGAAGAGTTCGTCTCCATACTGCTCGCTCTCTGTAGTCTGACCTCGGGCAGAGTTAGGGCTTATGGCAAGCTTTCTCCTACCTGTGTGGTCTCCATTGAAGTTCGACAAGGATGCCCCATCTCTCCGTTCCTGTTCACCTTTGCCATTGAGGATTCGTTGAACGCTGGCGTTGTGCTCCTCCCAGGTAGTCGAGTTGTTGATTTGGGTTATGTTGATGATATCGTTTTGTTGGGTGACGATCCACACGTCGTCCAACTTGCACTAAACCGCTTGGCGATTGAAGCATCAAAGTATGGTATGTACTTTTCGCCATCCAAATGTAAGGCTCTCTTCCAAGACTGGCAGGTGCCTCTGCGTGCACTCTGTCGCAACGAGACTGGACCTTAACGTGGTGCGACGGTTTGCGTACCTCATTGACCCATTGAGCTATACTGGGTGATGCCTCCGGGTACCTTGAGAGCTGCTCCTACCAGCTTGGTCATTGGTGAGAGGTCAGACAAACTCAGTCTCCTGGTCCTCCAGGTTGGGCTTTGAAATGGGATGGCGTCCATTTCTGTACAACTAAATCATTGTCACCTCTCCGCTGCCTTGCGGACAGGCTTTTGAGCCAAAGGCTTTGGATGAGGACCCTAATCGTCCTCCTGTCTAGGCCTGGGCGCCCTGGCGGTATCTCAGCTCACATACAACCATGACATTTTCTTCAAACATAAACTTCATCCTGCATCGGCCGTCGCGCAGATCATCAAGGGTCGCCTTATCTGCTGCATACAGCAGGGCGTATAAGCGAAAACATGCTAATGCTGGCGCCTCCCTTCTTTCTTTTCCACCTTGCCCTCTTACTCCCATCCCGACCCCCCAGTACTAATCTTCTTTCCATAATTCCTAGCTTAATTGACAGTAACCGAAGTGCCACTGGAGTAGAACCATCTACAACCACCATTCCACAGCATCTGTCGGACGCCTATCGGCAAAAGTCCCTTATTAGGCCACCCTATCCCGTTTCCATGGCGACATTCAATGTTCGCACTCTAAGACAAACAGGTCAACTGGCTGCACTCGGACGCACCTTATACACACTGAGTATTGATGTGTGTTGCGTGTCCGAAACTATGATCAATGAACCTAGTGGAGTTGTTGAATGAACTGCACCCGGCTTATCCTCTCGTTGTTGGTTGCACGCATCCGGAGACGCCGATGCGGCACTCAAGGGTCAAGCTAGTGTAGGTATCATTCTCAGCTCCAAGGCTGAGTCATCGTTGGTTGATTGGATTCCGGTGAACAGCCGTTTATGTGCAGCCCGTTTGACGACATCAGCTAAGGTGGATTCACGAAGCAATACAAAACGCTGTTTGTTTGTGGCTTCCGCTTATGCTCCCACCGACTGCAGTTCTATTGCAGTCAAGGACACTTTCTATCACGAACTGAATGGGCTACTACGCAGTGCTACTAGTTCAGATATTATAGTACTTGCAGGGGATATGAACGCACAAGTAGAGCGTCTGAGCTCTTCAGAAGCTCAGCTGGGTGGTAATTGTGGGCTTAACTCCGAACGGACTGACAACGGTGAGCGTCTGCTGCAACTGTGTGCGGAGCACCAGTTGTTTCTTACTAGCACTGCTTTTAGACACAGTGGGCGCCGAAGTGCCACTTGGCGTTTTCCTGTAGGTGGCCAGCGATGGACCCAAATTGACCACATAGCCATAAGTTACAGATGGCGTGGTTCCATCCTGGATTGCCGCACATACTGAAGTACCTTTGTCGACTCTGATCATGCCTTGGTACACTGTTGTTTCTCCATGAACTTTACCGGGAGGCACACCAAGCGTCTCCTCCGATTGGTAACGGAGAAATTGTCTCAGTCCTCGGTCGGGCAATCCTATCAAGAGGCACTGCGTATCGAACTTCCGCTGTTTTGTCCTAATGACACTGAGCTTCAGTGGAATAGGATCTCGGCCGCCATGCACGACGCAGGAACATCTGATGTGGCACTATCAGTCGTCACCGCACCAGTCAATATATATCCTAGAGGTCGGAGAACCTGTTGGAATCTAGAAGACGCCTCCCGGCTGGCTCTTAACACAATGTGACCAGACGGGCTATTAGGCCTAAAATAAAGCAGAGCCTACGTACTGACAAGGAAGCCTGGTGGACCAATCGGGCTCAAGAAATGGAGGAGGCAGGAGCAGTAGGCAATTACCGGAAGCTCTTCCAGCTAATCCGCACCACTGGTCCCAGAAAACCAGGCGTTAGTGAAACAATAAGAGACAGCGCGGGTGCGCTGATACACAATAAGAAGCGCCGTATGGCTCGTTGGTCGGAACACTTTCAAAATCAGTTCAGCTGGCCCCCTGCTCTCGGACTTCTTCCTACTCAGTTGATGCAGGACGAACCATGGACGGTTAGTTTAGAGCTTCCTTCGGAGCTCGAAGTACGAAGTACCCGAAGTACTTTGAGACAAGTGCTAGAGCAGCGCCACGCATACCGCAGACCGACAATAGCTGTGTTCCTCGATTTCAAGAGTGCGTTCGATTCAGTCGATCGATGCATTCTGTTCGAAATACTTGCGCGGAAAGGTGTTCCCACGAAATATGTGAACATCCTTCGTGCTCTGTACTCGAACACTACAGGCCGCGTCAGGGTCTACGGTGTCCTATCGGATAGCTTTCCGACCACAAGTGGCGTTCGGCAGGGTTGCCCGATTTCCCCATTTTTGTTCACTTTCGTTGTGGATTCTATCATGCAGTGTTCCCTTGCGGAATCTCACGATGTAAGCATTGAAGTGCTGCCTGGTGAAAGGTTAGTTGATCTTGATTATGCAGACGATATCCTCTTGCTTTTCGACGATATTGAGACGGCCCAAGCAACCCTGAATAGCCCGTCCAAAGTGGTCCCATTATTTGGTATGCACTTCGCACCAAAGTATTGCTGCAGGATTACCAGTCTTTTGATGACCCCTTGACCCTTGCTAACGAGGAACTCGAGGTGGTTGCTCGTTTCACTTATCTAGGCAGTTGCATCAACAATGATGGGCGCATAGAAACTGACGTCAGCTCACGCATTGCAAAAGCCAGAGTTACGTTCTTGAAACTGCGGCATATTTGGCGTCAGAAGGTGTTTCCCTCCGTCTGAAAGGCCGTGTATACAAGACCACAGTGAGGGCCGTTCTACTCTATGGTAGTGAAACTTGGCCGCTTCGGTCTGAAGATCTGAGGCGCCTTCAGGTCGTTGATAATCGTTGTCTGTGCAGCATTGCTGGTGTCGGATGGCACCAGTGTGTCCGCAACGATGATGTGCGTAGGCGAGTACTAGGAAGTGATACTCATGCTATCTCCCTAGAACAACAGATAGCACTGAATACGTTGCGTTGGCTCGGGCACGTGCTACGTATGCCTGGTCGCCGGTTTCCAAGGAGGGCCTTATTTAATCTACCAGGTGTAGGGTGGCGCAAGGCTCGATGTGGACAGAAGTTGACTTGGCAACGGGAAATGAAGTCACTGACTACCAAACTGGGTGCCGTTGGCCCGTCTCGCCTTCACGCTGGAGTCCACGTGACTCGCCTTGTGCTTGGCTCATGACTTTACAGGATATGGCTCACAGTAGACACCAGTGGCGCGTCTGCTGCCGTCTAATCGGATTGCCTGTTTAAAGTGTGTTTGGTTCTGAGTTATCTGCTGGGGGTAATGCCTGATTATGACGCGTGGCATTGAAAGCCGCAAGGAAGCTGTCTCGCCGATGCCGCCTTATCTTAGCACGATAGCCAGCTGTTTGTGACGGTATGTTGTCTACACAAAGTGTAGGCGCCTTGACCCTGAATGTTTTCTTAGGGCATTAAGGTTTTCAGGTAAGTCCCTCTTCTCTCCTTCTTCTTATTCTCTATTTCATAGGTCCTCAAGGTTGTATGGCAGGGAAGCATCAGTTCAAATGGCTGATGTACTGCTGTTGATGATGATGATGATGATGACTGCCTGCACTCCCTCTTGGTGGTGAGACACTAGAGGTTGTGGAGAGCTTTGTCAACTTGGGAAGTTGCATCACTGCTGGCAGGGCTGATAAAGACGAGCTTTCGATGCGCATCTCGCGAGCCCGCCTCATTTTTTCTAGCCTGAGGCATTTGTGGCGTCGCCAGGACATTCGTCTCTCCATCAAAGGGCGGGTCTATTGTGCAGCTGTTCGTGCTGTGCTGTTTGAACGGATGCGAGACTTGGCCCATTCGTAAAGATGACTTGCGCAGGCTATCCGTCTTCGAGCACCGCTGTCTACGATCCATTGCCCGTGTGTGGTGGCGGCACACCTAAACAATGTGGAAGTTAGTCAGCGTGTCTTGAGACGAGGAAGCCACTCGCTCGAGGAACTCGTCTCACTGCATCGACTGCGGTGGCTGGGACACGTATTACGCATGCCTGTCCAACGTTACCCATGTCGTGCGTTGTTTGCGGTTGCTGAACAGGGCTGGAAGAGACGGTCTGGTGAACAGCCTGCGACTCGGAGAAGTCGCATGAAAAGGCTGACGAAACAGTTGGCCTCGGCCGGTTGTTGTCGACTACCTGGTTGAGGTCCGAGAGATGCGGAGACTTGCTGGTTAAAGACCTTGGAAGCCATGGTTCAAGATCGATGTCAATGGCGGACGTGTGCATGGGTGTGTTGCGGTGTCCCTTCTTTCACCCCTAAAAAAGCAAACTGAAAAAGTTTTCAATAACTGCGCGGTAAACTGGACAAGAAGGACTTTTGTTGTTGCTCTTTATTATTCATACTCTTTTCCTATTCAGTCATAATTCCTATGGCACAATATCTGCACCACAGATGGTGTTATATATATATATATATATATATATATATATATATATATATATATATATATATATATATATATTAGCACATGTGCCCCATGCTGAGGCTGATGTTGCATTCATGATGCTTCTTCACCGCATTTGGGCTACACCAACTTACACTTAAATTAGGTCTTTCTAATGTGGATAAAATTCATTCCACTTTATTTGGTTTGTTCTACTTACTTAATTCTCTTCTCTTAACTTGCTCACGTCGCTCGTGCAAATTGTGGTAAACTTGCGTAATTTTATCGCGTGGGATTTTGTAAATAACTTTCTGACGTTTTGTATTTATTGCGGATTCACTTATAACCAATTTCTTCCATATACTCATTTAACAAGTGTTTATGTCGTCATATGCGCTTACTTTAATCGGTATCGGTATTTCGAATGATTGGCTGTTGTTTGACATCCCCGGTGTGGCTGCGTTTGATGTGCATGTTGACAAGATGCGTATCTATCTATTACCCACTGCCTCGTCCATCTGGCTCCAGGAGACAGTTGGTCGTTGATGGAGGGGACGGGATGCACGATCCTCGTGACCGTGTTAGGATCAAAGTGGTTCCATGTACTCAATGTGGAGCGGACCACGGTCCGGTTACCGCCTTGCGTACGCTTGATCCCCAAATACAACGTGCTTGTGTTTGCCTGTGAAGGAGTGTGGGCCGGCTCCGTTGATGAAACGTGGCTCTCATCCACATGCCCTCCTGTCTTATTTCTTCAGGTTTACACTGGATATGGGGTGTGTGGTTGGAGCTGTGGGTGGTGCAGCGCAAGCAATCCATGGTCCCTCTGTAGGCGCGGGGATCCTGTTACTGTCCACAGTGACGGGCAAATCCGAAACCGGATGCCGCCAACCATAAATGGTAGCCAATTGAAAGTTGTTCTGGATTTTGCGTGACATCTTTTTGGACGCAAAGTGAACCATGACTGCTTCGGTACCCTGGAGTACAGCATCCCTTAGACTATCAGAAGCTACCATTTTCAGCACGCTTTTCATGTGATCAGCTGCATCAATCATCTCTGAAATCGCCAAAGCGGAGCTTATACGTCCCTGACTCAAACAAGTGGTTTATGCCTCCCGGTCAGAATGAACAGGTACTCTAAGAATAAGTACTCACCTACATTTCGTAAATCTTTACTCTATGAGCAAATACCTTGAGCAACTCTTCTCTGCCATTTGAATGATCATAATTAGCAATTCACTGAGTTCCTCTTGGACTTATTTGAAATCATTATGTCAAGACTTGTGTTTCGTGAGGGTGTCCTATGTCTTTGGCTGTCGCGTATGTTATCAGATACAGACAAACCAAAAAGCTGTTGAGAGCAACGAGAATAGAGACGTTCGAAAGAAAATCTCTGCTGTAGAACCTAGAAATTGGAGACTAGAATTGTGCGCCGTGCCACATTTGTTTGTGACTCTACAATTGCATAATGAAGGGACAAAATTGTGTGGTAGCGTTCCAGCTTCTCTGATATCACTGCTAATTCTTTGTGATTGACTGTCACTGATGAAGGTTGCCACAACACTTTAGAGGTGATGGGACTACGAAGGAAGTAATAGGTGAACAGAGCGAGATGTGAGAACATGTTGAATTCATGTTGGAAGCTCGGCTGAAGGACGGTTAACATGGCTGAGCATTTCTTATCCGCGGCATCCGAGTAACGCTACTTCCGGTATCTTTTAGCTACCGCTCGTTATATTGCGCTCTTGCTCTCCAGTTTACCTCCACCTGGATCAGATTTCGTCAGGCGATTCATTCGCCTGTGTTGTCTTCAATAATGCCATCGCTTTTGTAACTGACAAATTTAACTGAGGAATTATTCTGAAATATCTAGCGAATTCACTATTACTTATTTCATTTGGAGTTTTGTTCCACAATTTATGGGCGCAAACTAGAAAAAGGATTTCGAAATGTGCATGTTCTGCAGCGTACCACTGATACAAAACCCATGCTGTTTTGTTTTATACCTAGACCTCACGGGGAATTCCGATTTTGATGATATCATTGAAAAGATCTATGTTTGTTCTCACTCGATGTAACCTGATTGGATCCGGTTCAGTCGCATGTCATGATCCACTGGCGCCGGTGTTGTTTAGAACTCTAGGAACCGAGTTGGACAAGTTCAAATGAAACACTTATTCACGCGTTTAAATGCGCCGAGCCACTCCTGTTTGGTATGGTGTCTTTGAAGTACTCAAGACAGAGGGGATCTGCTTGAATGTTCTCTGGATAGTATGCCGACGGTGCTTGACACCGACGGTCATATGGAGGCTGCTGCACATCTTAATGCCATCTTATCAGACCACGTTTTCGCACCCCATGCTCCGTCACCCGACTCGGTTCCAATCCTCTGAGTTTCAGAGGTACTCTCTCGATGCATTAAACTAACTACTTGCTGGATTGCACAAGCTTTCGAGAGTACAACTTTCCATGTGCTTTTTGCTCGTTATTTGCACATCACAGCCTCTTAAACACAATTCGTCGTCTCTTTTACAGATTTTGGAAGATGAAACTGTCGATTCGGAAGCTCAGTCGAAAGTCCGTGCAACCGTCAAAGAGTTAAAACAACTATTGGATTCGGTTGAAGCAGCCTCTGAATCTTAACATTTTTGCATCCCATGTACATTCTTATCATGTCTTGATTACACGAATGATCTGCAGTGATTCCTTTTGGCTTCATTGTCTTGTTGCTATGCTGTCGACTTTTTTTATTGGGATTTGCGACCACTAGGTTACTATCCGACCCCATCGAAGGATGATGCTCGAGTGTGTGTATGTCTATAGGTGGATGTATGTATGTATGCATGCTGAGGCTGATGTCGCATTCATGATGCTTCTTCATCGCAGTTGGGCTAAACCAACTTACACTTAAACTAGGTTTTTTAATGTAGATAAAATTCATTACATTTTATTTTATTATTGTTCTGCCTACTTGATAATCTTCTCCCAACTTACACACGTCGCTCATGCAAATTGTGGTAAACTTGCGTAATTTTATCGCGTGGTATCTTTTAACTGACTTTCGGACATTTTGTACTTATTGCATATTCACATTTAACCAATTTCTTCCGTATGCTCATTTAGCGAGTATTTATGTCGTCATATGCGGTTACTTTATTCGACATCGGTATTTCGAATGATTGGCTGTTGTTTGACTTCCCAGGTGTGGCTGCGCTTGATGTGCATGTTGACAAGGTGCGTATCTATCTATTACCCACCACCTCGTGCATATGGCTTCAGGAGACAGTTGGTCGTTGCTGGAGGGGATGGGGTGCACGGTCCTTGTGGTCATGCTAGGCTTGAAGAGTGGTTCCATGTACTCAGTGTGGAGCGGACTACGGTCCAGCCACCGCCTTGTGTGCGGTTGATTCCCCAAATACAGCGTGCTTGATTTTGCCTGTGAAGGAGTGTGAGCCGGCTCTGTTGATGAAATGTGGCTCCCATCCGCATGCCTCCCGGTCTTATTCCCTCGGGTTTACACTGGATATGGGGTGTGTGGTTGGAGCTGTGGGTGGTGCAGCGCAAGCCACCCATGGTCCCTCTGTAGGCGCAGGCATGCTGTGACTGGCCACAGTGACAGGCAAATCCGAAACCGGATGCCGCCAACCATGAGATTGGACACCTTAACCTTATCTGAACTTATGTAACGCAATTAGTGTTTCACTATCGACCGTTACAAGGTTCCAAGAGTCGCTGCATACCTACTGGACGCAGTCTGTTTTCCGCGGCCTCTGGCGTCATTGCCTGCAACCACAGTGCTACTGCTGAAGTTTTACCACGCGCTTCCAAGTCACCATGTTATCCCATTGTTTGCAACCCTGTGTTGTCATGGCCTCTTGCGAGCGAATGTCAAAGACATCTTGATGAGGAGTTGGCGATGCTGTTTACGATTATCCCCCTATTAAGGGAGTCCTCTCATCGGAATCTTTCAAACCCGTTTCCATGCTTCTAGCTTCTACAGATGTTCATGGCAATCCAACTTCAAGCCCATGGAGCAAGAGTTAGCCAATTAGAGCAATTTTGACTTTCCTGTCCGACGAGAGTGTTTTACTGGCTTTTGGTGGTTTCTTATCCACCGGACCATTCTATAACTCTTTTCTGTTGAGCTCTATACTCAGATTCCTTTTAATGCTGCCCCTGGGCTAAACTGCACATCTTGTCGACGCCTTTGTTTTGTGATTTTGGAATTGGCTGGCGCGGAATTTGCAATAGCTGTATCCCTTTATCCATGTTGTTAATGGAAACACAACAGTGCCGTGTCAGCTAGGGTGTCTGACCACTCGTACGGCCATTTATGTGTTTCATCCGGAGACCCGACGCTCATCTTTTCTTATTAGTCCCTCCTTTGCCATTTCTTTTCCAAGGGCACCGATGCTCTGTTTTCAGTTAGGTGCATTCTGGGGGAACGACCTATACAAAGTAGGGATGTGGTAACTGATTAGATAGCTTTACAATGGAATAAACTGTCCACACGATTTCTTTAAGCTTTGTCCGTCGCAGGGGATAATCAACGGTGCCCTATCTGCTGCATTGAACAGGGTGGACAGTGGTCTCTTTAATCCCCTCTTGCGCTTTTTCATCTTTATCGAACCCTCCCAACCATTTCTATCTTCCTGCTTTCAACTCTCCAATTTTTGACCACCCCATATTGCTTCAATAGGCGTTTGTCATCTACTTTTGATTCATGCAATCGCAGATCGTCGCTCCGGCCTGGTCCAGTCGATAAGTCCATGTTCACCAAAGCGGTCAACACCAACTCATCAGATAGATGGTGTGGCCATGGGCACCACACTTTGTCCAGTCCTGGCTAATGTTTCCATATACCACTTGGAAAACATTGCACTATGTGTTAGCATGCAAAATGTGCATTTGTACTGTAGCTGCATTGATGACACGTTCGTTGTGGTTGATACTGCTCGACAGGCAACGCACTCACTGTATGTTCTAAATGCGTGCCACCTTGCAGTCAAATTCACGATGGAAAATGAAATGAATTACACGTTCCATTTTTTGGCTATTAAGCTAGAGAGGAATCCAGACGGTACGCTAACTTGATCCATGTATCGTCAGCCCACTTGGACAGAACCATACTTAAACTTTAACATTATTTGTCCTATAAACTATAAATGAGCATTGGTTCGCACCGGCTTGGCGAGAGCTCGTAAGATTTGCTCTAAAGATACTATCAGCAGTGAGCTAGATCACGTATACTCAACATTACATGAAAACGGATACTCTGAGAGATTTGTAGCACGATACGCAAATACAGAAAGCAAAGAAAAACGACTGGCTGAGGTCCCCAAGAAAATGTTAATTACATTACCTTTGAAAGGGGACCAAAATGATAGAAGATTTCGACAGTTCCAGATGATAAAGTAGTGTTACCATGCGGCCGAACTTGTGCTATTACGCCAAGTAAAGAAGCTGCTATGTAAATCCATCCTTACAAAGCAGACCATCTAGTTACGGGCTCATGTATTTGCCTCTTTCATTGTACTTGTGATAGCAAGTACGTGGATTTCAGAGCACATTCAACGTAGTATGGTCGCGAACAATCCCAAGCTGCCGGCGAGCTCCATTGCCTCACATATCCTCAACTACTCCATCTGTCAAAATCCCCGTAAATCCTTCAGGATAATTAACCGACAGATAAATCCTCGCCCGCTTCAGTTTGCTGAAGCTTTAGCAATTCGATGGCTGAAAGCTAATCTGTGCAAACAGACTGGTTTATGACCAGCATCACCTTGCCATAGTAATTTTTTGATTGTTTCAAATTTAAATTGTGTGACCCTGAACATTGTTTCATTTTAAACGCAACACCATTTTCCACGGATTGTTTGTTAACAGCTGATGAGAATACCCGAAATATCTGAATTCAGAGTATCCTGTTGAAATGTTGTTTCTTCTTGCTATCTTAAAATTTGTCAAGGGAAAATCCTGCATGGAATCATCAGTTTCTATTTGGAGTCCTCGATCCTCGCTAAGACTGGCATACCTCAATGTGTGCACTGTTACTGCAGGTCGGCCAACAAACAGCATTTACCCTAACGGTAGAGACCCTAGTGATCGATATCTGCTGTTTCTCAGAAACTCGCCTGCATGCTTCGAGCTCTGTGGTTATCCTGCGATCCCCCACATGTGACACTGGCTGTACTTTCTCACTGCGTTTGTCTGGCGATGACGCAGCTCCAAATACCGGTCAAGCCGGTGTGGGTATTGCTCTGAGTCACCCGGCTGATGCTGCTTTGCTTGATTGGATCCCAATCAACAGCCGGATGTGCACCGTCAGACTGACTGGGTCGTTCAATGCTTCAAAGTCGCACGAGGACAAACGGTGTCTGTTTGTCATTGCGGCCTGCTCGCCACCATTGTATCACTGACTCGGTGAAAGATGACTTCTGTCACCAACTGAAGGAGTTCCTTCGTTACAGGAAAAGTACGGATACTGTAGTGCTAGCTGGTGTGCTGAACGCCAAAGTTGGAAAACTGTCCACTGCCGAGCTGCATGTGGGCGGCCATAATGATAACGGTGAGTGGTTGTTACACTAGTTGACATGGCGAGGAGCCGACTTCAATGGCGTTTGTCTTGTGAGTTTCTCTGTCCCTTTCCATAACTTCACCCTACAACCAGAATCTCAGTCCGGTAATTTCTATTGAAACCAAAGCACCAGTTTACTCCCGGCTTATCGTTACAGCTGCGGCGAACCGGGGGAGCCGAGCATTCATATGGCACAGTAGGATCCTGAACGCTGTGTCGACCTCAATTCGATGACACGGGGCCAACAAGTGTCAGCCGATGGTAGATGCCGGAGGTCGGTGTGAACACGTAACGTGACTTAGGCCTGCTTTCTGCGCAATCTCGCATTGGACTCATTTTGGCACGCGCTCTTTCATTTCAGAACGAAGGGTCTTATCAATTTTGTTCTCACCCCTATGAGTATGGCATGATTTTAAATGGAGTACCAACCCCTTTCCAGCTGTTTTATGCCGTATTTACTTGACCTTATTAGCTGGACTAGCCAAAAGTGGGTCGTTACTGCTGTTTACTGGTGGTTAAAACTTTCGTGACTAAAAACCTTACACACCAGGCTCCGATGGCTTGGCTACTTGTTGCGCATGCCAGCTCTCCGACTCCCGCTACTTGTGTTGTTTGAGTGACCGGGATGTGGTTAGGAGAAGAGGTGGGAAAGCCAAGCGATGACTTCGCCAAAACGACTGAAGTCCCTCACTTCAGACTTGGTGCTTGATGGTGTCTCCGGACTGGAGTCCGAAGGACGATGAACTTGTTTGGTTGGATACACTTGTTAATATTACAAGGACCCCATCACAATGGCGTTTATGTTGTGAGTTTCCTCATCCCTCCCTACCCCTTTAGTTCCACTCCAGTCACATTCTGATACCCGATGTTGGATAAAATATCTAGCATTATATTGTTAAAAATAGTTTTCGCTGTCTTTCTGTCCAATATCCTTATGTATTGCGGCACATTATCTGTGATGTCTTTCTCACCCTCGGCTTTCGTATATTTATGGTATGGATGATGATGATGATGACGATGAACAGCTTTGCTACATGCCACAAGTTACGTTTCATGGTTGGAGCATCCGAACTGGATTCTCGTTCCAACAAATAGGTCGAGCAATTTCACCAACTGCTCAGACCAAATATCAGTGTGGTGAATATGGCTATAATCATCATCATCCTTATACACGTTAGCTAGAGGTGGGAAACACCTCAGATACTGTGTTGCAGTACATAAAGGAAAAGGAAAATAAATACAACAGTTGCATGCCAGCTGAGCTACAATCAACGGATGGGCATCGTTCCGGAAAGCTACCAGCCGGCTACTAGATAACAAGAAAAAGTATGATGTAAAATTATGTTATGCTACGAAATGAGATCGTGCTTGGAGGGAAGGCTGTGGGATGTGGTGAGACAAAGAAACTCACAGCACGAACGCCACTGAGCTCGACTCCTAACCATATCAGCAAGTGTATTTAGCCAAACGTGTTCATTGTCTTTCGGACCCCAATCAGGTAGCCGTGAGGCTCCAACCGAGGCCAGCTCCGGAGTGAGGGCCTTCATTCCTCTCGACCAAATCATCGCTTGGCCACCTCTCCTCTTCCATCCACATCCCCGGCGTGCAAACAACGTACGTCGCGGGAGTCGGTGTGCTGGCATGCGCAACACGTTGCCCAGCCACCGGAACCTGATGCGTGAACTGATGGTGCTGAGCGGTTCAGTTCCATTTCCTAAGTCGTGGACAAGGCACCGACCACGCTTGTTGCTCACTAGGTGTTTCCACCAGATGTGAGCCAAACTGCGAAGGCACCGATGGTCGAACGTAACTAGCCTCTTTATGTCCGCTGATCCAAGGGGCCAGGTTTCGCAACCGTACAGTAGGGTCGAACGTACCGCTGCATTGTACACTCTACCCTTCAGAGCTAGAGTGATGTCGCGCTGGCGCCATAAGTGACGAAGACTAACAAAAGCGCCTCGAGCTTTTGCTATACGGTTCGTGATCTCATTTTCAATCCCACGGGTGCTGATACAACTTCCCAGGTAGTTGAATTTCCGAACGACTTCTAGCTGAGCCCCACCATGGGTCAACGCAGGAGGCGATCTAGGCCAATTTTGAAAGAAACCTTTGCACCTCGATGGATTAAAGCAAAGCTTGAATCGGCTGACAGCCAGTGCTAATCTGTCTAGTGCAGCTTGGCACGTTTGGGAGCAGTCCCAGCTTAGGGCAATATCGTCGTTCTCCTTGGAGCAGTTCCACGCCCTCTAAGTCGTGTCCTGTGAACGCGATTTCCATGACTTCGTCAATAGCGAAGTTGAAGAGTAAAGGTGACAGCGAGCATCCTTCTCTCACACCGCTGGAGATATTAAACGGCGACGACAGCTTGCCGTAAGCCCTCACTCTGCCTGAGTTTCGCGCGTATAATGCTCGGATAATATTTATATATTTCTCAGATACACCTTTCCTGAGTAACAAATCCCAAAGGGCACACCTATCTACCGAATCGAAGGCACCTATGATATCGAGGATCACGACGACGGTGGGCCAACAACATATGTGTCGGTGCTCCAACAACACCTAAAGTGAAGGTGAGGTCAATGCAGCCGCGAAGCCGACGAAACCCGGCTTGCTCTTCACGAATATGGCTTTCATGATTGCCAGTCGAGGCAAGCAATTCGGAGGCGATGGAGATCAGACTGATTCCTCTATGGTTGCCGCATTCCGATCGTGTGCTTCCCTTCGAAATTGGGACTATGACGGCGCGACTCCAGTCGGTTGGGACACTTTCCTGCTCCCACAATTTCACTAGTAACTCATATAAGTCATTCACAAAAGCAGGTTCTCCGAATTTGAGGACTGGAGGAAGATCATCTGATTCCGAGACTTTATTTAACTTAAACACTCTGATCTCACGTTCGACTTCTGAGCGAGAGGGTGGATCCAAAGGGACAGTCCACGGAGCAGGAAGATTAGTATCCAGCAAAAATATAATGATTCCGACCGATTAAGTTGCCTTTCAAAGTGCTCAGCCCAACGCTCCAAGCATTTTGACAAGTTGTGGATAGGCTGTCCACACTATTGTCATTCGCATGTTCCAGTTGTCTTTAGATCTGTCCACAGTTGTCTGCGATGGTGTCAACTTCTCCTCCTCATACTTGACCTCATTGCTTCGTGGAGCTGTGGACAATTCACTTATTGTCTTTTCCATCATTTAAGCCTATTGACTACTCGGAATACGATTTTTGCTTTCCTATCTTGTCATCGTACTTGGGTGCGTCTTCGGAAGCAACATTCTTGTCCGCTCGGTTCATCCATTTCTGCTGTCTTAGCATCTAGAGTCACTTCTCTGAAGACTTCTGCGTTTATTGCCGTATCATTTCTTGTCTCACTTTTCGTCATCAAAATAGTAGTTCTCGTCTAAGTACGAGTTCTGTTAAAGAATCGAGCTGCAAACACCTACTACAAACTGCCCACTCATCTTAAACACCTTTGTAGCGCCTACTGGCTACGTCAGTGTCATCTTCTCGACTCCATCCTTGTTCGGCTCAGGTTTTGTCGTTAACCTTGTTGGGGGTTAAAATTTCATTGGCGTGATTAATAATATAACTATGGTCCGTTTAGGAACCCCATGTTGGTCCGGTTTGTACAACTTGTATATATCCTTTCCAGGTGCTGAGGTCACTTTCCTTGTGTTACTCATATCTCCAGTGGCGTTTGAAGGCTGACAGTGTAATTACGTTTTAACCGTCTGATGGATATTTCCAGCGGTGTGAGGAGGACTTCAGGAGTTTTCGTGTGTTACTTCTCCTTACCCTTCACTGTTCAGTCATACCTTTCGAGTGACTCACATCCACTCTGGAAGTTAATCTTCTTCACATTTCTGACCTTACGTAATTCACATTTATAGTCAACTACAAGAAACAGAATGCTGGAGTGCCATTGACTCTGCTACTGCGTCTCTAGCCACGGACATAGCCCTCTTCGTGTGATCACCCTACGCGAAAACGGCAACCCAGTTCTCTCCTAATTCTTTCATGCATTTATGCCACATCATTAGCCGACCGTTTCGCAGTTTTACCCAGTGCATCGTTAGCACTGGGTGTACGCAATCGGCAGGTGTACGATGGACATGACCTGGCCTACGTAAACGCGTCGTCAGTGCAGATTTTTTTATTCGCAGGACCACCTCGTGAATTTTTTAATCAAATAATAAACCTGAGGACAGCGCTTACTGATCATTTTAGGATAAAATATACTTGCAACGATGAACCGTAGTGAACAAAGAATTGCCATACCCAAGTTCTCCGATGATAACTTCTGACTGCCCCTCCACAAGAACTAATTGTTTAACGTCCGCCATATCAAAAATATGATGGAAACTCAAATAACAAAATATCAGAGTTCTGTTTGGATCATTTCACTAGCTGTTTTCCTACCTATATTGAAGATCGTTGACCTTGTCCTCCTACTACGCTACATTTGTTTTTTTCTTCGCTTGTAGGTGTACCCATGAAATCACTGTATGGAGACAATGTAATTTGCCATGGCCTTCATTCATCCCAGGATTCTCACCTTCCGTCAAATGCCATGCTCAGGGTCCATCTCCTTACCTCTAACAATACGGTTTTCTACACATCTCTGCTCCTTCCTTCAACCTCCATTCGATCTGTCTTGCCTTTCCGATGCTGCGATTACGAAGCGTTTGAAGGAGAATGCCTTGGCTCGTGAATGTCCCGTGGATTTCGACCGCCTTGTACGTGCTTTGTCTATCCCTCCTTCGTATTTGTAGGGCAAAGTGTTGTCACAGGTGTATGCTATGTGCCTTACTGTTTTATCTCTGCTTTAATATATTAGAAAGGCTCGGTTTAGCCCCCCTGATCCGCCACGCCCCCCAATTTATGGCCATCAGTGCAATAATATATCATTGCTTTGCAAACTCATTTCATATCTTGTCTTTTGGAAACGCAACTGATTGGATGTCACACACCATTTTAAGCTGGTATCAGCAACCATCAAATTCTTGAATTTGGTCCCTATTTTGGCAGTAGTATTTTAGGATTCTTGGCAGTAGCTCTAAGTCAGACAGACTCCCATGCATCCAGCAAAACATTAGATGTCATTTCGGCTTATACCGCTAAACCGTCACGACGTACTCGTCTATTGCGATATGGTGCGTGGTCATGGATTCGATTCCCGGTTTAGCCGCGAGACTCAGTAGAATGAAATGACTGTTTAGTGCTTTTCCTGATACCTGAAAGGCTGTCTGAATTGGAGCTTCCAAGAAGAATTGTCTTTTATGAGTAGGGCTTCATCAGTTCTAGACTCAGACAACCAACACACTCAGTAAGCACTGCACGGTCGTTTCATCTTTTCGGATATTGTCAGCAGCAATCAGTATGCAGACCAAACTACTTCTAATACCTTCGGTAATTGGGGACTTAAGTTTGTTTATTTCGTCAGTCAGTGAGGGGGCTGCCCTGCCCTGTGCGCCGCGCTAACGTGCAAGCCAGTAAATGGTGAACGGCGCTATATCACATCTAGTAACTTTGTGCCGACGGTCGTCACCGTCTTCCGTGGCTCATTCGTCTCGACCGCAGACGGGCAGCAGTCGAGTTGCGGGTTCTAGCCCTACAAGGCACTAGATGGAATACATACTGCTGACAATTCCTGAAAGGATGGAACAGCCGTACAGTGTTTTTCTGCGTGAGCGATAGCAGTCTGGAAGTGACGAATGTTTACTCATACCATTCTCATCCCCATTGTACTCTTCAGTTGTTTACTTCGAAAATTCCCATTTCACAAGTAGTATTCGAGTTTTTTCGCTTTTCTGGATTTCTATAGCTAGAGTTGCACAAGCGTCACCTGGCGGGAGAGCAAGAAACTCGTGCAGAGTTAATGTCGCTGATCAATCAACTACCGAATAGGACTCATCCACTTACAGTGAGTCAAGTGACTGCCCACTGGGCCTCCATTCCGATAACTGTATGATGCTGCATTAAAATCGTCTGATTTTCTCTCATCGCACACTATTTGCTGCCCTAGCCTAAAGGATTACACGCCTCCCTACAAGAGAGGCGTGTGATCACGGGTTCGGGCCAGCCTCGCAGTATCCGTGGCCCACGCGCGACTTGGTCGCGCAGCAGCGAAGCGTCGGTACTGCATACCGGTGCACTGCTGAGGCCTTTTGTTTCACCTTGGATGTCCCACTGTTCCGTTATCCACTCAGACCTATACTACAGCTTTTGATCCTATTTAATATTTTGATTTACGAAATACTTGCCATTGTTCTCCTATGACCTTTAGCCCATTGGCGACGCTTCCAAGGCCAAGCTGATTCACCTCCATGGAGCAAAGCCAGTCGGTGAGTTTTGCATCCGAACGTTTCGTTTTTCAGAAGCTTATCACGCTTCTCTTAGTGCTCCTGCCTCTCTTACTGACTCGTACATTCAACACCTCGTCTATCGCGTGCATAAAGCATTTGTACTTAGCATACAGTTTGACTGTATACTCCTAGAATTCGTATTATCTCTAGATATTTGATGGTCTAATTTCCTACTGTCGTTGCTTGGAGAATCAGCTTTTTCGCCTGCACGGTTGTGCCGCACAGTTTAGTAAAGAGTGGATCTCGCCACCTTGTAGCTTGTCTCTTGGCCATGATGTCCGCCTGCTGTGTCCCCTGTCCTCCTTTGACTTGCCAACGTTTCGCCTTGTCTACAGGCACCTCATGGGACTGAATAGATTCGCACTACTGACGAATCGCGAAACTATGAGACTACTAAGCTAATAAGTTGTATATTCCTCAACGGCGCTCGTTACAGTCCAACTACGTGGTCTGATGAGTAGTTACAACAGGATCGCAAAGAAGATATGTGTTCAAACTTTTCCAATGCGGCTCCCATTAGCGATTTTGGGGATTTTTGTGTAGATTCGTCGTTTTGGGGATGCTCGACCAGTTAACATGTTCGATATACGTAAAAGTTGAGAGTAGAATAAAAGTAGCTATTGAAAAAGTTCAACTGATACACCCATTCATGGAACCATCTCCTGAATACGTACTTCCATGCAGAGTAGTCCCCAAAAGGTTTCATCCGCACTTCCTCACCCCCTCTGGCCTTATACATTGTGGCGTAAGAGCATGTAAGCTCATCCTCTGGGTTGTTTATGTATGGAGTGAAATTGACTAAGAGAAATAAGCTCATTTTTCTTTTTTAATGATTTTATGTCATTCAACCCTTTTCAACATCCGACTCTCTTAAGCGTGGCACTCGCTCGCCAGGTCTGTGAGCATTTTCGTACTCGCCAGTAGGTCTGCGACATTTCGCCTCGCATGGATGTAATGATTACTTCGAAAAGCTTCATTTCATCTCAGGAGATCGTCTCAGTGGAACAGAAATATAATGAAACATGGGGATATCGGTAAATGAGCGGCACAAATCCAAATGATTCTGTTTCAGTTTGTACATTGGGGTTACAGGAAAAACAAAATAAGTACTTCTCTGAAGAATTCTGAGCTAGATCCGACGACTCATGGTAGTCGAGTTGCAGAGCAATTGATATTGGAAAATTGACATCGTGAAGCACTAAGAACCGATACAGATACTGTAGTTGTTTCCTTTTGGAAAGGAGAAATAACAGCTAACAGTGCAGAAAATTTGTTAAAAGAAAGGAACTGTTAGGTTGGCATGGCGGAATGGAGGATAACATGATATTGAAGTGGGCAAAAGCTAGAGTTTAACGAAACGAAAAGTGTACTTACTATTCAGACACTGCAGACATGACCATGCAAAGTCGCACTTCAACCCCTTCTTCATACCTTGCCTCTATTCTACAGTTCAACTTTAGTAGGGTTTTGACTTGCAACACTATTAGTTATCTCACGTTTTTCAAACGATTGGACTCAACCACAATTCGTTAGTGTCAGGGAAACGAAAATCTTCCTGCAAAACTCATTAGTTCGCCGGGAAACAATTCGAACCAGTGATGTACAAAAGTTACATTTAGACCTTTCAGGAATCTTCGCGTCAGATACATTCAGGTCTACACGACGCATGTACCTAGCTCCCCATTGGATAACTGGACTGAATTCCCAATCAAGACAGCTGACCTAGCTGTTCTGAGACGCGAATCTTCCTGGGTAGGCCAATAAATATTCACTGATTTTCACACTACTTGTACCCGTTTCGGTAGCTGGTTCAGCAACACGCTTTTGCCTCCAAGCGTTCGCTTCTGATTTTCGGCTGGGGTTCGGAGATAGCAGAGAACGTGTTCAGTTCAACCGGAATCGCACAGACAGTTAGGACATAACAAGTATGTTACCTTTTTCTGATATTCGAGTATTCTCAGGTAAAAATTTCCTGCTTATGTTTCTGCTCTACGTGTAGTAAAAGAACCCTTTCTGTTCCTCATGTCTTCCATTCTGATCGAATTGCATACTACTGTGCGGAACGAATACGCGTTTGTACACTATGCTGAACAGAAACTTCAGACCAAGTTCCATCTCCGTGACCACAAAGGCTCTAAGTGAAGCAGTATTCAGCGCTCCGATCAGTTTTCCGTTTGTGATTCATTAAATAGGTCTCTGGTGAATCGATGTTGCACGTTCTCTAGGTAGGTATAAACAATTGCGTTTCCTACAAGTGACATATACTATCGAACCGTATTCTAACAGTGAACACACAGATCTTGAACATATGAAGCTTGAATTCACGCACTTTGAGTGGTTTGAATTTGACTTACGAGCTGTACCCGCGGACGCCGCGGATTTTCAAATCACCGTGTGCCGTGTACTACTTTTGCTACGGATGTGTATTTTCCAATCGGTGCAAATTTGATGGATATTCTTTGGCTAATTCCAGAGATATCACTGATTGACCCTACTGCCATCTGTGTTCACCAGCTTGGATTTGCTCTATCTTGTGATGCCGTTTCAAACTACTTGTGAACAATGAACAGTAAATTTATACGGGTTAAGAAGCGTTGCTTTACAAGTCCCGTTGGATAGTTGGTGGGGATATCGACATAACAATAATGATAATAATGATAGTAGTTAGTACTTCAAATATGAAAATAAGGACTTATCGTTTGCTCCGCCGTAGTCCTGTAATCCGCTTAGATTCACAGCACCCGCAGTTAACATCAAATAATTCCATGATAAACACCAGGTGTAGGATGGAGATGTAGCGCTGTGACAAAGTGTAAGTGGATGAGTGCGTCATCCAACCGTTTTTTAAATACTGTTAGTGTCGGTGCAGAGACGACCGATTCTGGGAAAGCATTCCTCGGGTGACAGACATGAATGGAAAAGAAATTTCTGCGGCACTACTCCAGGCGTTTATACTGTACAGCGAGTTTCAATGAGTGGCCCCTCATTGTCGTATTGATTATGAGTCGCAGTAAAGCGCGGCACACATGATGTGGGTTTTACAGAATCGAGCATGCCATAATCAGGTCGCGTCGTAGTCTGCGATAGCTTCCACTGCATACCCACAATCGTTGCAGCCTCTTCTGGTATGAAAGCTTGCACATTCCAATTACGTTCTTAGATGCCCGACGTTATGGCTGCTCCAGTGCGATACCTCCCAGGACCTCACTGGTGCATTCGCGTACGTGTGCAGCCTAATGAACAAATGTGACGAACTGTTCCGCTTCGCTATCTCGGAACGGATAGAAATTTTAGGACTTGCGATGACTTGCCTGAATACTGACCTCATACCCCAGGAAGTCGCATTATCAGGATACTCTTGTTTCCAATGCGACTGAAAATCAAAAGCTCTCAGTGGTGTTCTGTTGTACATAAAATCGTCACTATCTGGAAAACTTACCAGCACCTTTTGGAGTGACGATAACTTATGCGAGCAATTGTGGTGCACAGTCTGCCTCAGACATGCAGATCTAATAGTAGGTGTTATCTGCCATAGGCCATTAAACCATTGTTGCGTTTGGCTACCACATCTACAGAAGCACATGAGCCGCCCTCCGTTCTTACTGACGGAGGATCTAAATTTAGCCAAGATAATCTGGCTAGATTTTCGGCTTCTTCCCGGTCATGGCAACGTTGAGGCTCCATTCGCTAAAATGACTATTGTAATCAAGGCTACGCAACAGGTCATCCAACTGACGCTCTCGACATCTTGTTTGGACCTAATGTTTACGAGCTGCGAGCAGAAGCTAAACGAGGTCAGAGTCCTCGAACTTCTGGTGAACAGTGATCACTACTCCATTGTGGCAAGCACAGAACTGTCGTTACCGTATTGCAACCAACGGAAGCCGACATTCAACTATTGGAAGACGGACTTCAGCGGGCTCATCCAAGCCGCAAGTCAGACTGATTAAACACTACCACAGGATGCGTCGCTTGAGGCCTGTTGGTCAATAATGAAGGGGAAGCTTAACTCATTGTGTACTCGGTTCGTTCCCCTGAAGTATTCAAAAATCGGACCTGTCAAACCGCATTGGTTTAATAGGGAATATAGACAGCGCGACGGCGTCGCAACCTTTAGGATAGATACATCTGCTCGGGTTGTGTTGAAGATTACACGGTGTACAAAACACAGCGAAACTTATGTAACGCCGGAAAGATCGAGAAACACCGGAAGTTCGAAGAGAAGCTGGCATCCTCGGCCACAACTGCACCCAAAAGAATATTTGCCTACTTGAAACGTCAACTAAAACCTGGGGGCGACCTACCGGTCTTAGAGAGCTTGGACGGACAGACGCTCATTTCAAGCGCGGAGCGCGGACGCTTTGGCTACGCACTTACCGTATTTTCCAGTAAACTGGCGGCTGTTCCAGTACCTAACACAGGTTGCGCCAGTCTTGATCGACCGCCTACAATATGATACAGTCGAAGTGTATCATCTACTCTTCAATCTCGATGATGCAAAGCCCCCCGGACCAGACAGACTTCACCCACTAATACTCAAGTCCCTATCGATTATCATCTCACCAACCGTGACAAACCTATTCAATAAATCACTCTCTGAAGGATCTGTCCCCAATGACTGGAAATGCTCGATAGTGAGACCGCTTCCCAAGGGTGGTGATCCGAGTAAAGTAGAGAACTATAGACCGATCTGTTTGACTTCGATATTATCCAAAGTTCTCGAGAAGGTTGTGAAAAAGTGTCTGCTGTCGTTCTTCGAATCGATGGGCGTATTGACGCCAGCGCAACACGGCTTTACGAAAGGGCGATCCTGCATCACCAACCTGAAGTACGCAAACCACCAGTGGGTACGAGCTCTCAGTGAACGGAAGGATTTTGACGTAGTGTACATCGGCTTTAGTAAGGCGTTTGACAGAGTGAACCACGAGATACTCCTTCGTAAACTGAGGATATACGGAATCGGTGGCACGCTACTTCAG